CGGGGCTGCGTCCCCTCCCACGAGGGCCATCTCCCTCGCGGGGCGGGGTGGGCGGCGGTCGGGTACTTAAACAGTCGCTCTGGCCGCCTGCTGCACAGCAGACCCCCCTCCCCGCTCCCTGCACCCCCGCCCCTCGCCGTGCCCACGAGGTCGGCTCTCTGAGACCCCGAGCCCGAGTGAGGCCGCGCCACCGCCGCCATCTCTGTCCGGCTGGTCCCACTCAGCACGACGCCCTCTGGGCCCACACACGCTGCGCAGGCGGCTGCTCGGGGCCGGACGGTGCGGACCCCTCACACCACCATCCGTCCGTCCAGCCGTCCGTCCTCTGGCGGACCCCAGGGCCCATGCCAGCGTGGACCGCGGTGAGCAGTGCTGCTGGGAGCGGCGTCTGTTTCCGTTGCCGCTGGAGACAGTCACGGGAGGGGGGCGCTGGGGCGAGGGGAAGGGCGGCGCTGGTTTTAATTTTTCGAGGAATCTCCGCACTTGTCCACAGCGGCGGCTCCCACCTGCCTGCCCGCCGCCGGGGCTCAGGGGGGCCCTTCCCCATGGCCTCACCGTCACTGGTTCATCCGCGCCGGCCGCCGGCCTGACAGGTGTGCGGGGAGGGCTCATCGGGGTTCCGACTTGCACCTCCGACGGTCAGGGGCCTCGAGCACCTTTCGCACGTCTACGGGCCTCTGCGTGTGTCCTCTCTGGAAAAACGTCTCCGTGTCATCTGCCTGGTTCTGAAGCAGATTATCTGGCGTGCAGCTGGTACGGGGTTCCTCCTACGTTTCAGATGTCAGCCCCTTAGCAAACGTGCCTCCAGTGGGCAAACACTGGCGCGCTTCGCCGCTGGGCGTGTGGGAAGGGTAGTTCAGTTCTGAGAGAGGCCACCGAATGGCCCCCCAGTGGCCGCCCCGGGCTGCGCTCCCGCCCCCAGACGCGGCCTGGCCAGCCCGCTGGGCCCTGAAATCCGGGAAACACGGTTACGGCCCCGGGGCAGGGATGCTGGAGGGGCTCTGTCGGCAGAGCCGTGGTCTGGGGGGACGGGGACCGGGGCGCCCGGTCAGGTCACGCTCGTGACGAGCACCAGGCGCTCCGTTCCCGCCGGGCCTCGTCGGCCGGGCTCCGGGCCTCCCGTGCGCATGAGGAATCAGGCCGCCCGAGAGGACGGAAGCCGGGAGGGAGGGAGAGGGGCGCTGCTGTTACCACCAGAAGCCGAAGCGGCACCGGGAGCGGGCAGCTCGAAATCCGCTCACGCTGAACTGGAGCAAACACTTGACACTCAGAGTTCATCGTCTCGGTCAGGTTTTGTGGTTTCCGTGGCAACACGGAGCCTCTGCGCTAGGGGTGGCCCCTTCGTGGGTGCCGTCCTGTGTCCACGGCCCTGGGCGCCCCCCCGCCCCCCGGGGCACCCCTGCCGCAGGCCCCCCGCCCCCCTGACGTGCGGGTGTGCGGCGGCAGTGAGGCAGGGGTCGCGGTCTGGGAGCAGAGCTCTGCTGCAGGGACATCTGTCCGTCCGCACGAAGTCTTTGCGGGGACAGAACAGCGTCCTGGGGGCCTCCGGGGCCCGGCTTTGTGCCTTTGCAGTGGGTCGGAACCTGCCTTGCGATGGTGTCTCAGGGGGGTTCGGGCTGGCGCAGGGGCGGCGACCCCAGACGGCTTGGGACCACCGAGCCCGCAAAGGAGCTGCGGACCGCGGACCCCGCGGGGCCAGAGGGCCGGCCTCCGAGTCACGCCCGGAAGAGTTGGCTTGCCGTTGCCCCTAAGAGCGGAAGCTGGTATCCAGAGGGCAGGGGGTCAGGGGTCGGGGGTCGGGGACAGTCCGTAGCTGCCCGTGGACACCTGGGTGCCTGGAGCCTCCCAGAGCCTCAGGCAGGTCCCAGGGGCCAGAGGGGCTCCGCCCCCTTCCTCAGGCAGCCCCTTCTGGGGGTCCTCCCCGGGCCCTTGCCTCTCAGGTTAATAGCTCAAGGAGTGATAAACCACCCCAGCCCCGAGATCAAGTAACCGGCCAGGAGGGGAACGGAGGTGTCCCGGCCCCTGCCCCTCAGGCCTCAGAGCTGAGCCCTCTGCTCGAACAGACCTGCCTCTCCCTGGCCGCTCCTATCCAGGGAGACCCCCGGATCCCGGCGTCCCCCTGCCCCCGGGGCGGGAGGGGTTCTGAGTGTCCAGCGCCTGCCCGGACCCCGGTGCCTGCCCACCCCCGCGCCCCGGAAGTCAGAGAAGGGCCGCCTCCCCGCCGCGGCCTTTCCCCGGGAACCAGAGCATCTATTTCCTTGGAAATTAATGTTTGTTTTAAATCTAATAATGCGGATTTGCGATTGCGTTTGAGGGAAATTAAAGGAATAAATAACCCACAAAAGGGAACGTGCTGTCCTCACGCGGAAGCTTCTCCACGTGACGCCCACGCGTCCTCTGAATTATTTAAAGCGACTTCACTCTGGAAATGGTCTTCGCTTTAAAAACCCAGCACCCTTTACATTAACATTAAAATTTATACAGAACACACGGAGTTCTGCAGAAAGTTCACTGAACTACAAAAATCGTCCCTGAGTAACTCGTGATGACTCAGCAGCAGAGTTCTGACAGAGCCGGCTCCGTCCTGGGGCAGCCGGGCTGGGGGGGGGGCGCGTCTCGGCAGCCCCTGGAGCCCCCGGGCGCTTCCCTGGAGTCCAGGCGGGGGGTGCCCACCTGGGTCCCCAGCGGGGTCAGAGCGGCCCCCACGGGGCTCCTGTCTGCAAGCTGCACGGGCTGCCACCCTGGTGGAGACGGAGCTGCTGCCACAAGGCGCGTCGGAGGTCGGGGGCCCGTGAGCTCGGGGCCGTGCGTGAGGCGGCCCGTCAGGGTGACGCCCCGCCGGTGTGCACACGCCCACACAGGTCGTTTTGCACGTGCGGCCGCCAGGTGTCATCACACCTCAGCACAGGTGTCCCCCACACCTGGGGCTCCTCACCCGAGTCAGGGTGAGGCTCCAGCCCCTGACCCGGGCCACAGCCCGTGGGGCGCTGGCCCCGCCCGTCTCGCCCCTGGCACCTGTCCGTCTCTGTCACCTGTGGTGGCTCCCCTCTCCGCTGGCCGCCCAGGCGCCCCTCAGCTCCTCCGTCCTGTGGGGCCGTCTCCCTGGCGCTTTGCTCCAAGCCCTCGGCCACACTGCCGGCTCTCAGGGGCCCTTCCCCGACCTCTCACTGCGCGTCGGTGAGTGTGCACGCGCCCGCCACACTCAGCTGTGCCCACACCCCCCAACACACCCCCCCAACACGCCTCCCAGTGACCCCCCCCATCTCACCGCCCAGCACCCTTGTGCTCAGAAGGCCCGTGACCGCCTGGGGTCGCTGTGCCCACAGCTCAGTGACGCAGATCTGTCCCCGGCCCCCACCCGGTCACTGTCCCCATCAGACTGGTTGGTGTCCCCTCCGCCATTTCTAGAACTCTCCCTCCCGTGTGGCAGGCGCTCTGGGGACGCCTGTTGGACGGTAGATGAGAGGGTTCGTCCTCTGAAAGGCCGAGGCTGCGGCCCCGGGTGGGGGCTGGGCCACGCTGACCCGGACACGGGCAGGACTGCCCGGGAGAGGCGGGGAACGTGGGTGCACCAGGGAGGGAGACCCCTCAACACCCCTCCCTGTGACGCCCGGAGCAGACCAGGGGCGGAGCCGTCTGCAGTTTGAGCGGCAGACGCAGCTGTTGGCTGGGCAGAAGCAGAGGAGCTTCCGGAAAACCAGCGATGTGAGCTGACGACAGGCCCCGGGGGCGGGGGGGGGCGGCCACCGTCCCGTCCACCTCGCAGCCCCAGGAGGCGGTGGGCAGCCGGGGTGCCCCGGGGACCGGCCCCACGCCCCTCCCCGCCCGCCGGCCCCAGGCAGTGGCAGTGAGCACCTGGCGTGGTGCGGGGCCTCCCCCCTTCAGGGGCCAGCGGGGCCGGCGGCCAAGGTCGGAGTCTGCGGTGACCCCGGAAACGAGGGCGCTGCTGCTGCTGCTCTCCCCAGCGCCTGTCCCGGCCGGCCGTGACCAGGTCCCCCCGGCACCGACCCCCCAGGGTCCGCCCGCCCGGTGTCACGCCGGGGTCCAGGCTTCCTGGAAAGTCACCGCGGTCCAGGGGGGGAGCGGGGAGTGTGTGGAAACCCGGGTCACGGTGGTCCCACGCCTTAAACCAGCGACAAACACCAACGACACGCGGTCGGTGCCGGTAGAACCCTGACAGAGGAGGGCGGCAGGAAGCCGTCGCTGCCGTGGGAACAGACCCAACAGCCGTTTCGGCAAAACGTGTGACGGCTCAGGGAATTACCTACTCCTTCTGAGGCAGAAACCCAATTTTGACATTTTAATCTGCAACATAATCAATAGAAGAAGAAATGAGCCATAAGCAAAAAGACATTAAAAAATCCATTTCTATCGATTGATCAGTCTGTATAGACAGAGACGATGTCGAATAAGGCACATACAGCCACGCGTGTCAGGAAAACACACGCTCTGTTACACAGGCCGTACGCGGGGCAGAGACACGGAAGCCACCGCGTCGGGAGATAGGCCCCCCCGGAAGAGCACCCCACCCCTGGGGGCACCCACAGGGGGGCGGAGAAGGGCTCCGGGGAGCCTGACGGGGATCGGCGGACGGTGGCACCACGGGCGTGGAGTGGGGCCGCGTGGGTCCCGTCTCCCGGTGGGCGAGGGCGAGGGAGCCGGCGGGCGGGGGCTGGGAGGGGCGTGCGACTGAGCCATCCGCCGCTGGGCAGAGTTGCCGGCCCCCACACCCACCGCCCCCTCCTGCCCTCCCTCTGGGCCCCTGGCAGGACCCCCCCCCCCCCCACCAGGCGGCTCCCGGGAGAGCAGGGGAGGGGCGGCGTCCGTGGCCGGGTCCCGGAGCTGCAGCTTGGGTGCTGGGTCAACGCCCCGGGCGTGCGTCCCGCGTGCACTCGGCCCGAGCGTGGTTCTCTTCGGATGTTTGTGGAGCGACTCACGGTTCCGCTCACCCCCCCCGCCCCCCGCGAGAGCAGAGACGCCGGACCACACGCACTGTGTCACGGACACGGAGGCTTTATTTCACCAGAATCGCAACACGGCTTCTCTACGCAGCAGCGTGTTCCCCGTCTGCCCTGGGCCGGGGCTGCCCGGGCACTCGGTTCCCTGCCACTCTCTGTCCTTGGCCGAACCGCACGGAGATGATAGAACATCGCGGGAGCCAGGATGTGCAGCGCATAGATGAAGTGCACCGTTCACTCACGAGAAGCGGAAGGTCGGCACTGCGTCTCCCGACGAGTCACGCCCCCCCGGGAGCGGGAGCGCAGCGAGGGGACAGACGTCCGCGTGTGAGTCCCAGGAGCACAGTGTCCTCCCTCCGGTGCACACGGCGGGGCCGGGGCCTGCTCCCGGGTCCGGAGGACAAGCCGCGCCGGCCAGGGGCGCCCCCGCATACCCCCGGGGGCTGCGCACGAGGTGTGAGGCACCGTCTCAAGGGCTGGTGGGCTGGTGCGCCCGGGCCCTCGCTGGACGGACAGAGGTTCCCCCCCCCCCGCCCCATGGACATGCGGCTCCGCGTGACCCCTGCCTCGGTGGGGGGTGCCTGTGGGCGATGGTCACGCCCCCATGACCGGGGCGAGGGGCGTGAGGGAGGTGCCAGAGGCCGGAGGAGGTTCCGCCGGACGCCGTGAGGAGCGGGCGTGCGGGCGAGAGGAGGGGCCAGGTCACAGTGTGAGAGCGAGTTTCCGGCACCGGAACCGGCCTGGCTGCCGGGAGCCCGGTGCCGCTGGGTGCCGCTGGGTGCCGCTGGGTGCCGCTGGGTGCCGCCGGCAGGGGACACGTTCCTCCTCCTCTGCCCCACGCGCCCCCTGCGCTCGGCCCGGCTCCCGGGGGGCTCAGCAGCCTTAAACCCCTCGAGGGAACCTGCCTCCAGGTCCCGGGCCCCCTCCTGGAGCAGATGCGGCCGCCCCTCTGGGGGCCGTGCCCCCGGGTCCCGTGGGCTCTCAGGGCCCCAGGCCCACTGTGGGCCGTGACGTGGGGCGGCCTGTGCAGCCCGACGGAGAACCGCTCAGCCTGCGGGGGGTGTGGGCCGGGGCTGCGGGCCGAGCGGGGCCTCCGCTCATACGGGCGACAGGTCCACGCGGTGGGCCGAGTGGCTGCTCTTGTCCCAGGGGCTGAACTTGGAGGAGGCTGTGCCCAGCCGGGTCCCGTTCATCTGCAAACCACGGAGGGGGGCGGGGGGGGGGTGAGGACCCTGGACCGGGAGGAGCATCCCGGCCCCGGTGGGCGGGGAAAGCCGGCCTTGGGGCAGACGAGGGTCCTCCCTGCGGGGCTCACAGCTCCCAAAGCGAGGGTCTGGAGCTGGCGAGGGCACCCTTCCCCCACCTTCCTCGCCAGTTCGGGGGCCCATTCCCTCGCTCCCGCACCGTCTGTCCACCCACCCACCCGTGCACCCATCCTTTCACTCATTCACTCATTCATTCATTCACCCACTTACTGATCTCCATTCACTCACTCACTCACTGATCTCTCCCTGCCTCCTTCCCTCCACTCCCCCACCCCATCTGTCCATCTGCACGCTCACCCACATGCCCCGTGACTGGTGTTGGCTACGGGATCTCGGCCGTGAACAAAGCAGGGGGCACCGGGCACGGAGGAGGGCCCCGGGGACAGTGTGCCTGCCGCCCCCCCTGTGCCCACAGGGCCCCACCAGCGTGTCGGACGCCTGTGTCCGGGTCAGCTGACCTGCGTGTCCTTCCACCCCCAGTCGGTGGGAGAAGTGCTGACCCCGGGCGGGAGCAGGAGACGGGGCCGTGCGGTCTCGTCAGGGACAGGGGACCAAGGGGGTCGGAGCCCCGGCTCAGGGTGCGAGCAGGCCCCAGGCCAAGGCTGGGCGGGGGAGGTGGAGCAAGGACAGTCAGCACTGACCGGCAGCCGGTGGGCGGAGCCCAGGGGGGTGGGGTCGGCGCGGCCCCACCCCCACTCACCGCGTCGGAGCCGAAGGGCTTCGGGAGGGCGCTGCGGCCGGAGCTGCTGCTCAGGGACCAGACCTTGGTCTTGTGCTTGAAGGCGGCTCTCACCTTGGAGGCAGGACAGAACGCGGCGCGTCAGAGCCGCCTCGGACGGAGGCTGTGGCCCCCGTGCGGCTGGCTCCCCGGGGGGACAAGGGGCTGGGCCCGGCCCCTCTCAGTCTGGACAGGGGATGGACGGGGCCCACATCCCCTGTGAGCCGCATGGGGGCCGTGACGGGGGGCCGTGACAGGGGCTGTGACGGGGGGCCGTGACAGGGGGAGCGAACACACAGACACCGGTGTGGCCGCCGTCGTGGCCCAGCCTGGGCTGCTCCCTGTTCTCTGCAATCACAGGACCCCCTTCCCCCGGCCACCAGCTTTCTCAGCCACACCCCCGGCCCGTCCGGCCACCCCGGGCCTCCTCCCCATCCGACCGTCTCCTCTGAAAAGGCGGGGAGGGGGGGGTTGCTGGGTTGCATCTGCCCTGTTGCCACGCGTCCCCCCCCAGAGACAGTTCCCCACGACCACCAACCAGGTGCTGAGGAGGACCAGGCTGAGCCCGCTGTTTCAGGGTGACCCCCCCCACCGGGGGGCTGGAGCAGCCCCTGCCCTCCCCAGGGCCAAGTCCAGAGCAGGTGCCCCGCCCCCGGCAGCACCGAGAATGACGAGGGTCCCCGGGCCAATCCCTGCCGTCGGGACGGTTTCCGAGGGCTCCGCGGGGGCAGGGAGCTGACGACATGCTCGGGAGTGCGTGGACGCCTCAGCATCCCGCCCTGGGACCCAGAGTCTCCTCTCTCCTGCCCCCCACCCCGCACCCCTGCAGGACATCCGTGAGAGAGGAGGCTTGGAGGTTGCTTAGCAACAGGAAGGGAGGGAGGGGCTGGCAGAGAGCGGTCCCAGGGGCCCGACTTGTCCCCACAGCAGGCTGGCCGGGCAGCTCTGCCCACGCCCTGCGCCAGTTCGGAGAGATCGCCCGCTCCCCAGACAGACGTACCTCTGAGTTCAGGAGGCAGTGGAAGAGGAAGATGAAGAAGCCCTGAGGAGGAGGGGGGGCAGCGTTAGGACCCCCGAGTTCTGTCAGGAACGCGCCCCCCCAGGGTCCCCACAGACAGCTCTGGCCCAGGCGTGCCGTCGGCTCAGGGACGCTCCCACGCTACCGGCCCGCAGGGGCATGTGCGGCAGCGAGAGGGCCCCTCCCTGCTCGCCCACCTGCAGCCGCCCCCCGTCCCTGCACTGGGCGCCCACCTGCAGCCCCCCCCACTGGCGCCCACCTGCAGGGAGTTGAGGATGGCGAAGATGTACTGGAAGGCCACTGTCTCATGGTTGACGGCCAGCACGCCGAAGACCCACGAGGTGCCCAGGATGGGCAGCAGCACGGCCACAGCCTTGGCTGTCAGCCTGCGCGAGGAGCGGGGTCAACACTGAGTGAGCCGGCGTGCGCGTGAGGGACGGACGTGTGGACGGACGTGCGGACGGAGAGGCCCAGGTCTCAAGAGTCTGGGGACGCGGCCAGACGGTCCCGGGAGGACGGCACCCCGAGCCGCTCCATGCGGGACGGTAGGGCGCGGTGACAAGTGCCACCCGCGGCCGGTCTTCGGGGGCACGGAAGGCCCTCCTGGCGCACGGCCCCCACCCGCACACCTGCCCCCTCCATGGGCACGGCTCGGACAGCAGGGGGCGCCAGCCAAGGGGCGGGACCGGGGGACTGAGGTGGCAGGAGGGAGGGACGGGGCTGGGGACAGGCCGGCCTCCCGGGCCAGCCCCGATCACACAGCGGCCACGGAAGAGCACGGGTCTGACCCCTGCCCCGGGGGCCTCTCTCCCGCCCCAGGGCACAGCCCCCCGCGGTGTCCAGCGGCTGAAATGCCCAGGAGGCTGGAGCCACCTGTCACTTTGACTCCCAGGGTTTGGGATTCATTACAGAATAATTGCCTCATCGATCTGCTGCTGACACATCCCCGTTCTCCCCGCAGGTCGGAAACGATCAGGTCGGAAACGATCGACTGCGGCCGGAGCAGCCCCCGCGGGGCCGGCCGCCACACCCCCGGGAGGAGCCACCCCCCACTCCCGGCCTGCGGCCCGGCCAGCGGGCAGGCGGCGGGGCTGGCCACACCGGGAGCCCGGGTGGACGGTGTGACCGAGTCCAGGGGCTCGGGTGGGGGGGGCGCACTTTCCCGCGGGCCTGCCCCCGGCAGCGGCCACTCTGTCGCCAGGAGGCGGGACGGCCGCCTCTGAGCAGGAGGGACCCGAGGTCACAGAGCCGAGGGGCGCGGGGGCCCTGGGTCCAGGTGGGGTCGTCTGGTCCCCGCGTCCAGCGGTCCTCTCGCACCCCGGGCTTCCCAGCACTGGGGACCAGCCCCCCTTTTCTTTGGCCAGTTTGGGCCGGGCTTTCTGTCGCCTGACCGTGGCACACGGGGGTCCCTCCCCGGCACCTGCCCCTTCTCCAACGGCCCAGCCCCGAGCCCACCGGGGTCGCTCTCCCAGGGTGTCCCTCCGCGGGGCAGCCCCGTGAGACATCTGCGGCCACCCCCCTGCAGACGCGGGAGGCGAGGCGTTCAGGGTCACGCACGTCACATGGTCCCAGTGGACAGGACAGCAGGGGTGGAGGCGGCACTGCCCTGGGCACGGGGGCTCTGGATTCCTCCTCGTGAGCCCACCCCGGGGAACGCCCAGAGGACCCCTCTTCCTCAGTGGGGCGCCGAGGCTGGGACAGGGGCCGGTCCTGGTCTCGGGGCCCGAATAAGGAGCCAGGCGAGGACGCCAGCCCCGTGTTCCCCCTGGGGGGGACGGCGAGGACAGAGGGGGCGGCCCCCCCGCCCTCCTGCCACCTGAGCCACCCCCTGCAGGTGGGGCCCCCGTGGCGGCCCAGGGGCCACTTACTTGAAGGCACTGGGGTCTCCGTGCACCTTATAGTTGTCGGCGCTGATCTGCGAAATGACCCTGGTCACTGCGACGAGGATGCCCACGTTGACCTGCGGGCGGACGGGGCGGGGGGGGGGAAGGGCGGGGCTGGAGCTGCGGCCGGAGCCCGGGCCAGCAGATGCCGCTCAGCAGGGGTGCCGCCCACGTCCCCGAGCCCCTGCCCCGTGGGGCGCACCACAGCCCTGAGCACGGGCTCGCTGCGTCACCCCGGGGAGTGGACACACGCCCCTCCCGAACCTCAGTCCCCCCCTGGGTGTCAGAAAGCAGTGACTGCCCTGCTCGCTGACCACTGAGAGGGCGAGGAGGCCCTGGGGAGGCTCCAGCTCGCGTCCTGGCCCCCGGGGCCCTGACCCAGTCCCACAGTCATGTGGCCCTTGGGGCGCGGGGCCCCACACGGCTTGGGCTCCACAGGCGTCCTCCACCCACGGCTGCTGTGCATTCTGGGAGAGCACGCTGCCCCGCCTGCCGGCCCCACCTCCTCCCCCTGCAAGATTCCCGGGTCCTCGCGCACCCGCGGGCGCCCAGGCCTGGCCTGCAGCGGCAGATGGGGAGCCACCTGGACGCCCACCAGCAGGCCGCAGAGCGGGGGCTGCGTGGCCGCCCACTCAGGGTGGGATGTGGGCAGAGAGCCCTCCCGGGGCTCCAGGAACCCGGCACAGCAGACGGCGCCCTGAGGCCCAGAGCGGTGGGCGGGTGCCCCGGTCCTCACCAAGCCCCCGGGCCGGCCCGCTCGCGGGCGGGGGCAAACCGGCAGCGGAGAGAGGCTCACGGACCGAGGCTGCTCACGTGCCGCTACAGCGTTTTCTTCCGAACGTTTGCCCACGAGTGCCAGGATCCAAACCCAGCGACCTGACTAAATTTCCGCCTCGAACCACCGTAAATTAAAAGGGAAATTACATAAACCGTTCTCCCCGTGAAAGTCGCAGCCGCATCCGATGAGCCGCACCCGGCAGGCTCATCGCCACCCCCTGCTGCTGGGTGTGGGCGGGCGCAGCCGCCCCGGGCTCCTCAGGGCTCCCGGTGAGGAGTCGGCGCACACGGGCTGCTGCTGACACCTGCACGGGGCGGGGCGGGGGCGCACATGGGGTCCTGCTGACACCTGCACGGGGGGGGCGCACACGGGCTGCTGCTGACACCTGCACGGCGGGGGCGGGGCGGGGGCGGTCACTGAACGGCGAGCGGCATGGGGCCAAGCGTTTCACAAGCGTAACGGCCCTGCAAGTGGTTAACCGGCCTCCAGGTCCTGTGTCACGTGCCGGCCCCCCAGGACTGGAGGGAAGGGTCCAGGTGACGGCCGAGCCGCTCCCGTCACCGGCCGTTGGCGCTCGTCTGGTCCCCGTGTCTCTGGCCCCGCTGGTGTGCTTGGTGCCCCCCCCGCCCCAGCCTGGGCCCGTCTGGCTGCACCTGCAGGCACACGCCCCCTGGTCAGGGAGCCCTGACAGAGTGGGAGCAGTGAGGGTCTCAGGACCCCCCACGGCACCCCTCGGACCTGGGGTCCACGCACCCTTCCCGTCAGAGCTGAGGCAGCGAGCATCCTCGGCTTTGCAGGCTGGTCCGTCCTACGGCATAGGAGCAGCCCCGGCCACTCCTGAACACGGGCTGCGGGCCGGCAAAACCCCACCCACAAAAGTGGGCAGTGGGCCAGCCCAGGCCACAGCTAGCGGACCGTCACACCTGACGACAAGCCCACTGAGCCCCCTTCGCAGCCCCCTCTGCCTTCCCCGCTGCCCCACGATGTCCCATTCTCCCAGGGAGCGACGCAGACCTCAGGCCGCCTCCAGGGTGAAACTGCCCGGGAGCCTGACCTCGAGGACCAGGCCGGGCGTGGGTCTGGAGGTCGCGCCCCCTCGGGAACGACAGCAGGGCTCCAGCAAGCTTGGAGGACTCGGGGGATGCTGGGCTCCTGGTGCCGGACCGCACACTGAGGTGGGTGGGGCAGCACCTGGGCAGGGGGCCCCGGACCCGCGCCGTGGCTGACCGCTGACCGACATCGGAGGGAAGCTCAGATCCGTGGGAACACCTGGGAGGGGCCGACCTGCCCGGGGCTGCAGATCGGACGGGGCCGGTGGGCACAGAGGGTGGGGGCGGGACTTCCGGATACACTCCCCCTGAAACTCGTCAGTATCCGCCCACAGACCTCCCTCCCCAGTGGCCAGGCCCGGAATCATTGCCGGAGACTGGCCTCGGGGCCGGAATCTGCTCCGTTTTGGCGGGAGGCGGGAGGGCTCCGCCAGGCCCCGGAGAGTGGAGGGGGGAGGCCCAGGATCTCCGGCGGGGAGCCCTGTCATCCTGAAAAGGCTGGTGACAAAGTGACTGCAGATGAACTTCTCTCGGGCAGCCCTGGGGACAGGGGACAGCCCTGGATTTGAAAGCTCAGTGACACATCACCACGGCAACGCGCTGCCTCCCCGCTGAACATGATGAACTGAAGGACACTGTTCTCAGCTCTTCGCCGACACAAAGGACGGACACTCTCCGGCCACGGCCCCGTCCCCATCCCCGTCCCCACCGGAGCCCTTCCTGGAAGGCCTGTCCTTCACAGAGGGGCTGTGAGCCCCTCACTCGCAGAGACGGCACGGGGACAGGATTCTGACCGTTGGTGACAAAGAGAGACAGCACCCAGGCACGGCCAGAAGCCGGCAGGTACAGAGACGGACGGGGCAGGAGGGGGCTCCCTGGGGGCGGACCTGACCTCGCCGCCCCGCCCCCTGGTGGCCTGCGGGCCCCTCCTGGGGCCAGACCCCCAGTGTCCTCCACACCTGCCCAGGGCAGCACCCGGGCACAGCAGGGCGGGCGGGGGTGGCGAGGGGGGACATGGCCCCTGTCCACGCAGCCTCGTCCCCCTGTTGCCCCCCATCAGGGCCCGACCGGGACCCCACGCAGCACCGGACGGGCCCCCACGGGCCCCAGAGCTGGGAGCTCCGCCGGCCCTGTGGTCCAGGAACGACACTGTGGCTGCGGAGGACCCAGGAGCCCGGCAGGGCCACACGCCACCAAGGAAACGACCCACTGTCCTTGGACCCTCCAGCGCCCGTCGCCTGGTGGGGGACAGGCGTGGGGGGAGCAGACTCAGTGCGGCCTGGACGAGGGCCCCCCTGAAGGCGCCGTGAGACTGGGAGGTATCCCCCCCACACCTGTTGGCATCGCTCCCTCGCCTGGGGGGGACCCACCCACCCCCCTCAGAGGCGGCAGCTCAGAGGCTGTGTCCCGGCCTGGGGGGCAAGGCGCCCGTGCTCGGGGGTGCCGGCCCCACCGAGAGAATAACCAAGGCCTCTCTCCCCGCGGAGTTACCAGAATTTCGAGTGACCCCGGGGTTGGTCACCGGTACGGGGACAGCCCGTTGGAGAGAGGGGCCAGCTCGCAGGACAGCATCCCTGAGGCGGGGAGACCGAGGCACGGGCGGGGGGCTCGTCTGGCCCCCGGCCCCCCAGGCCTGGCAAGTGCCCCTGACCATGGACTTAGAGACCCCTTTCTGTTCAACTCCGAGTGGGGTCTCCCGTCCCCAGAGCCACAGGAGTTCCCACTACGGTGTGTGGTTCGGAGGCCCTCGCTGGCCCTCCCCGACGTGGCCCGGCCCCGCAGCTCCCTGACCACGACGCAGCGTGGGGAGAACCACGGGGGCCGGGGCCCGCGGGCCTGTGAGGCTCCCGCTTACACCTGTGGCTTCACCTGGACCCCCGCAGACGTGCCCCATCTCCCTGCCTGTGGTTTGGGGAATGAGAGTCCGGGCCACCCCCCCACGAGGGGACAGGAGCGACACTCACCCGGCGGGAGCTGTTGCAGGGATGGGTTCCCCGGGCTTTGGGAACCCCAGGGCTCCCCAGCCCCCGCCACCCCGCCGTCCCCCCAAGCCTGGGCCCCGGAGGGCGGGACCTACCACGATGACGAGCAGGGCGGGGGCCACGAAGGCCCAGACGGCGCCACTCTGCAGCGACAGCCAGCAGCTGTGGAGGGAATTGGGACGTCACTCGGACAGCCCGGCCCCGGCTCCTCCGTCCAGGGGAGCAGCCGTGACGGGACAGCCCAGGGCCGGCCCGGGCACCGCCCCGCCACACGAGGGCCGCACTCACTTGTTCCCGGTCCCGTAACTGTCCACGGCACAGGACACCGAGATGACACAGATCAGAAGAGGGAGACCTGGAGGGGGCGAGTGCCGGACCGCGTCAGCGTGCTCATTCCCTTGGCTGTGCGTGTCTCACCCGACACGTGTCTGACCTGACACGCACACGCAACCACACGCTGAGAGTGGACACAGAGCGGCCGGTCCTCAGGGGCCTGCAGTCTGAGCGGGGAGGCCGCACACACGTACATGCACACAGAGGCGCACCAGCCAGGCCAGGAGGGGGACCGCTCCCGTCACGGGGGACCTCTGTCACGAGCGTGGCGTCTGCGTGTGAGCGTGGCCAGTGCGGAGGCAGAGCTGCCCTTGCCGGCAAACACCTCTGGCTGCGGCTCCTGCCTGGACGCCCGGAGCCCCCAGGTCAAGGAGGCCACCCCGGGGGCGGCTCCAGCTCCTGAGGGCCTCCCGTGGGGGCCGGGAGACCACGGGGCACCTGAGCGGGCGAAGGACCCGGGGGCACTGGCCGCTGCCTGGGGCTCAGTGGTGCCATCACCAGGACCCCCCCCACACACACACTGTGGCTGCCTGTTCTCTGCGGGGACGCCGGGCGCACACTGACTGCCCGGCCCCTTCTCCTGAGTCTCTGCGGCCCCTCCAGTTCCAGCCCCTGCCCTGCGAGCCCAGGGGCGCGCCTGCGGCGACCGCTCGCTCACGGGCGGCCGGAAGTCAGTCACGGAGAAAGCAACACGGCGAAAGGCACGTGGGAACTGACCACCACACCCACCGGTGAGTCAGAAAGGGAACCCAGAAGCAAGCTGGAAGGCACGGTCGGAGGAGTGGGAATGAGCCCCCCCACCCCCCGGCGCCCCGCCCACGGGGTGCAGGCGAGGGCGTGGAGGGGCCGAGAGCTGCAAACGCCCGGCCCACCAACAGAGGGCGGTCTCCGGCCGCGGATCCCACGCCCTCGCGACACCGCGCTGGAGGGAGGGGAGCCCACGAGACCACAGGCAGGAGGCGGGAAGGAATAACGGAGACCACGGCAGAAACAGACAAAGTAGATAATAGAAAAGTCAGGAAAATAACTGAAACCAACAAAATCAGTCTTTGCGAAGTTCGCCAGGGTAGGTCGGGGGCGCGGCTGGCACGTGTGCTTTGTCCGGGCGACAGGGTCCCTTCGTCTCGCTTTCTCGAGGTGTGAGGTGGGGGGGAGACCCGCCCCAGCCCGGCCCGCGCCCACCCCACCCCAGCCCACCCCGGCCCAGCCCACCTACCCCAGCCTATCCCGTAGTAGGAGCGGAGCTTGCTGTTCTCCGAGCCGAAGACCTTGACCACCATGCTGTAGAGGTGCAGGCCCTCCACCAGCATCCAGGCGAAGGCGCCGAGGAAGAAGAAGTGCAGGAGCACGGCCAGCACCCGGCAGGGGACCTGGGGGCAGAGGGTGGGCTCTCTCCGGGTGCTTCCTGCGGGCCCCGCCCCCAGCGGCCGCTTCCAGGGCGTCCTCCCGGGGGGCTTGGCTCCCGTTTCGGGGCCGACCTGGATGGGGCCTGTGACTCACGGGCAACCAGTCCCGGCCCCGCGCTCCCTCCCAGCCGCAGTGCTCGGTCCACAGGGTGTGGGAATCAGACCGGACGATCAGCACACACACCCCCCTCCTCTGACAGGACTGGCTCAGGGGAGGCACGCGACCCACGGGCCCAGGGCGGGTAGAGCCACCAGGGAGCAAGGTGTCCCTCCTCCCCCCAGACTCGAGGCCAGGAGCCCGGAGCTTTGGCAGCCACCTTGCCCTGCAGGGGCGGCCTGTGGGAAGGGCAGGGGCTCGGGGACGGAGGAAGCGGCCCTGTGACTGGCTGGCGCCTGGGGAGCCCGGAGCGGCCGTCTCTCCTCGGGAAGGTGTCGGCCAGCCGCCAGGGGGCTGAGCCCAGAAACCGGCCTGACTGTCACCTGCTGTCTCCCTGGCTGCACAGCGGCCTGGCTCCTGGGCAGCGCCTGAACTCTCAGTGGAAGAGGGGTGGCCAGCCAGCAGAAGGCGCTGCCCCCGTGACGCCAGGGGGTGACAGAGGGGTGACAGAGGGCCGCTCACCGTGCCTGGCTGGCAGTGGAAGCTGACGAGCAGCAGGACCTGGGCCACCAGCACAGCGAAGGACAGGTTGGCGTGGATGTGGTAGCGCTGGTTCCGGATGGCGCTGACGGAGCTGGGCCGAGGGCAGAGGGCAGAGGGCAGAGGGCAGAGGGCGCGGTGAGTCCCCACTGGGCCCGAGAGGCCCCTGGGAAGCCGGGCAGGGTGCAGCCGCTCCTGGCCGCGGGCCCTCGGCGGCTCCCGCGGCCGGCACAGGCCTGCCTGCACCGGCGCCTTCCGGTTCCTGGGCACCCGGCAGCCTGCCCCAGACCCCGGCCTCCACACCGGCCGCCCCTCCGAGGCCGCCTCCCGCCCCGGGGCCACGAGTGCGGCTCAGGCGTCCCTGCCCGTGAGGGAGCTCCAAGTCCTCGCTCCACGGCTGTCCCCGCCTGGCACTGCCGCCGGCAAACCAGTGTCTGTGCCCCCGCACCTGCTCACCGCCAGGCCCCCTTACCTGCCCCGGGCACAGCTGCGTCCCCGGAGCAGCCCACACCTGGGGGGCGGGGCGGGGCTGAGCCGACAGCTGGCGAACCAGGGACCCGAGTGTGCATGTGCTGAGCACACCGAGGAGCCCCTCCGGGCCCACGCCCGTCCCCCGCCTGGCTCGGACCCCCTGGGCCCTCCTCACTCATCCCCTGTCCACGCGCCGGCCTCACAGCTCCCGACCGGCCAGTCCGGACCCCGGAGCCACGGAACCGCCACGGCGCCAGGCAGAGGAGGGGGCGCAGGAGTCTGGGGGGATCCCGGCACACAGCCCCGGGGGTGGGGGTGGGGGTCACCCCAGGCGTGAGTGAACACTCGGCGGGCCTGGGGTCTGCAGCTGCAGGGTCTGCCCCGAGGCACGCCCCCATTTCACTTTTCCGCCCCCACGAGCGGTGCCTGTTTGATGTCTTTGTGGGGCGCGAGGGTGGGGGTGTCAGTTCTGACTCTCACCTGGCCAGTCACCTGGGGGACTGTTCCAGAAGTTTCCGGCTTCGCTAAAGCCAGTGCCCTCCCGGCCCGCAGGCCCCAGGTCTCCCCTCTCTCCCTAGCACCCCACGGCCCGCTCCCTGCACCCCAGGTCTCGGCAGGAGCGGCGACCCAGAGCAGCCCCCCGGCTGCGACATTCAGGGCCTGGGCGTTCGCCGGCTCAGGGGACCGAAGGGGGAGGGGAGCATTCACGTCACACAGAGCGCCCGACCCCCGGGACCCGGGGACCCGGGCGAGCGGGAGGTGACTCACGAGAGCATGGCGAAGGTGACCAGCGTGACGGCCAGGCAGAGCACGGACAGGGAGCAGCCGACGTAACTGATGGACGAGAGCGCCACCTGGTGTCCGTGCGTGAGCTGCGGGGAGAGCAGAGCCCCGGGGTCGGCGGGCGGCCGGGCACAGGGTCAGGCCCCGAGGTCCCTGTGGCTGCAGCCCCGCCAGCGCACAGCTGAGCACAGCAGTCACTGCCCCCTCGTGAATGCACCACGACCCCTTAGTCCTGCTTCTCCCCCGAAATGTCCCGTTGTTGCCACCAAGAGAGGTCCCGCCCTGCGGGGTCGGCGCTGGGTCTTGTACGTTTCGAATGCCCCAAACGGGGCCGCGGCACGCTGCAGACTCCCCCCATCCAGCCTCTGCCCTGCCACTGCCGGACCCTCCCCGGCAGGAGCGCCCGCCCCTCCCCTCGTCTGCACCGCAGGGTCCACAGCCGGCCGGGGGCGCTGGCTTTGCTGCAGAGCCGGACCCGGGGGCCACGGGCTCAGTCCCCGGCGGCCAGTCCCAGCCGAGGGCCCGGACACGGGACCCAGTCGGCGCCGAGAGGAGCCGGTGACGGCACACGTGTGACGTGCCCACGGCCGTGCGGGGACACAGCCGTGCTGTGTGTGAGTGCAGGGCGGGCTGTGCTAACGCCCCGTCCTCCCGGAACGGACCCTGTCGAACACGTGGATGCCTTAGCAGGTGCAGAGCCACAGGGGAGGTGTCAGGGGTCCCCGCTTTTCAAAGAGCCGGGAGTCTGTCCAGGGGCGGTTCTGGCGGGGGGGGATGGCAAAGCTGCAGGAGTGCAGACGGGAGCTGTCTGGGGGGGCACTGCATGGGCTGGGAGGTGTCTGACCCCCCCACCCCCCACCGCCCCAGGAGGAGGGGGTCCACCCGCATCACAGACAGGGAGCCGAGGCCCCGAGCAGGCACTGTGCAAGGCCACAGAGTGTCGGGGAGGGACCCCGAGTGTCTGCAGGAGCAGGGGCAGCGCCCCGGTCAGGGAGCGGAGCTGCGCGCAGTGGGTGCCCCTCGGGCGCTGCTTCAGCGAGTGACCCTCGCGCTCGAGGGGGCCCTGGAGGGGGTCTGGCCCCTGTGTGCTGCACACCGCCCCCCGCCCCCAACCCCAGTGGGACTCCGGCGCCGAGGTGCTGGGGCCGTGGTGCTGGGCTGCACGAGCAGCCGCTGGGCCGGCAGCCGGGCCCCGTGACCAGGGAGGGGTCAGAGCGGACACGGCAGGCAGTGGGGTGGCCCTGGAGGCCCGCTCGCCCCAGCGGCGGGCTTCCTCTCCCCGCCCGGCTGGGCCTGGAAATGCCGGGAAGAGCCGGGTTGGCTCCGGGACGGGGGTCCTCTGGGTCGGAGCCCACAGGCCCCGGCGCCGCCCGGCAGGCATGGCCCGTGAGCCCGGAGGCCGGCCGGGCCGGGGTCCAGACGCACAGACGAGGGGACCGCCCCCCCGCGGAGAGGTGTCTTCCTCCTCCACTGCTCCAGCAAGAGTCCCTCCCAGGGAACGCGTCTGCCCCCCAGGAGAGACGGGGGACGCCCTGCCGCCCCCGGGGGACAGAACAACAACGCACACGGGAACACGTCACCCCCGGGCGGGGGGGCGGGGGGGAGGGCGAGGAGGGCCGTGGGGACGGCGGGCGGGGACCGGGCCCTGCCAGCAGGGGGCAGTGGCTGCTCGGGCAGACGAGGAAGCTCACAACTTCATTTACATTAAAAAAAAAAAAGGGAAACCAGAAATCCAAAATTTCAGGTCTTGTATCTGAGTCTTAAAATAGCCCGAGGGCTGTTGTTTGAGCCTGCGTGGGCAGAACGGGACATGCCCACTGGCCAAGGTCGGCCTCCGGACCACGGCTGGGGACTGGGTCTCCCCGGCCGGCCCCTCCCGGCCGCCGGGCCCGCCCCAGGCTCCGCACTCTGTGCCTGGGACCCGGTGGCCTTTCGCGGTCCTGGCCAAGCGCTCCTGCCGCCGGGACGGCTGTCGAGAGCCCGCCGGAGGAGCCGGGGCGAGCCAGGGGGCCGCAGGACCTGACCACCTGGAGAAGAGCGGCCACACTGTGTGGCCTTGGGACCCCCAGCCCCCACCGCCTTCCCCATCCCCACTGTGTGCAGCCGTGGTGGACCACCGTCATCCCCACCTCCGCCCCCACCTGTCGGGCCCTCCCACAAAACGCAGCCTTGGGAGCCCCCCCAGGTCAGTGGGCGTGACCACGGCCCACCCCTTAGCGAGTGCGTGTCGTCTCCTGACGGACCGCCCCCGTCAGCCCGGAGGTGCAGCGTCCGCGAGTCGGAATCCACGCGATGCTCCACCGAGACCCCCGACGTCTCGGTTACCCGGCCCCCCCCCCCCCCCCGACAAGGCTGTGCCACTCCCGGCACCTTCTGCTCTCGCGTGTTATCTGACCTCCTGGCTCCCTCAGCTCTGTGACACGGGCTCTCACGGGGCGGGGGGGTGTCCGTGCGTGACGGGCTCCACCCCGGGTTCTGTCTGTCCGGTCACCCCCCCGCCCCTCCCACCCTGCCACCCGTCCCCACGGCCGGGGCAGAGTTCGGGCAGACGCTGCACGGATTTGCTGTCACGGCGACGGCTGCCTTCAATTTTTTTCCCTACGGTTCACGAGAAGGTTTGTTTTTAGCGTGGATAATTTTATGCTGTTTTCGAACCGACCTTTCCTGGCAGCGAGTAGATACGGTTTGCTCCTGCGAAGACACCCACAGACAGTCTAAATCCGGTCACTCCGCGGAGTGGTGACAGATTCGCAGCCGTGAAGGGCCTCACTGGGGTTTTTCAGCTCGCGGGACCAGCGGCCTCCCCCCTCCGCCCCCGCCCCGCCCCCCTCCGCCCCCGCCCCGCCCCCCTCCGCCCCCGCCCCCGCCCCCGCCCTGCCCTCGCCCCGCCCCGCCCCGCCCCCACATGCCGCCCGCCCCGCCCCCCTTCCGCCCCCGCCCCGCCCCCACGCATGCCGCCCCGCCCCGCCCCTGCCCCGCCCCGCTTCCCGCCCCCGCTTCCGCCCCGCCCCACACTGCCGCCCCGCCCCGCCCCCCGCACATGCCGCCGAGGGAGCCAATGCAGCTGGGGGACCTGGAGGGGCTCGGGGCCAGGCTCAGCCCCGGTGGCCCTGGGGAAGTGCCCCAACCCTCGTCTGTGACGGTGGGGACGGCAGCCCCTCACTCACACGGGAGGAGCTGTCCCCGGACGTAACCCCTTAGAGAAAATGCTTCCACGGGCGGGGGGGGGAGTCTGGGGGTCATGTGTGCCTGAACGTAGGCAAGCCCACCGAGCCCGCCCGGACACTCGGACACGGGCCAGAGTCGACGGCCTCACTCGGCCGGGCTCCCCGGCCGCCCGGGGTCCTGAGGCTGGAAACGCCGGTGGGCGTGCCTGCCCCTCGGGGGCCTGCCTGGGGCCCCCCGGAGCCGAGATTATTTCCACCAAAGAGGCGGAGCCTCAGGGATGTCCCTGAGCAGCAGCCTCCCGCCGGCCCCCGAGGCTGACAGCCCCCGGCTCCGCCCCCAACCGCACGCAGAAAGGGCGCCCCTCCGGGGCGGGGCTCTCACCTCCAGCGGGACCACCTGCATGAGGATGGCGAAGTTGGTGAGGTGCATGCAGCGGCAGACCGAGTAGCCCAGGGTCCCCTCGGCCAGGACACAGCCCTCGTTCGACCAGACGCCCTGCCCGGAGCTGCGGACGGACCAGACGGCGAGACGGTGAGACGGTGGGCCGCGGGGACAGGGTGGGGGGGCTCCTTCCGGGAGAGGGAAGGGGTCCGGCCGCTTTGCCACGGTCGCCTTGGACGGCGCCCGGGCTGACGCCCAGGGAGGCAGGACGTGTGGCGGCCCAGAGTCCCTCCCAGGGCGCCTCGGAGCCCCACGTGCAGGGACAGGGACGCAGCGACCGCTGGGGCACGGGGACGCCCGAGGACGGAGTCGCCCCGGGTCCCCCAGGGGAGTGGCCACACAGAGGGCCGGAGACACCGGTGCCCGGGTGGGGACCGACCGGGTGGAACGCGGAACGTGGCAGGTCTCCGTGTCTAAGGCACGGAACACGTGGCGTGTTCTCTGTGGGCAGAGCCGCCACGTCCGTGCGTCACCGAGAACACGGCCCGAGAGCTCGTCTGGGGGGGGGGCGCTTCCTCACGGGGGCCTGGCCCCTGGCACGCAGGCGGCCACCCCCGCCCTCCGGCCCCCGCGGGCGGTACCTGAAGTCCAGGAAGGCGCAGTACAGGAAGACGCGGTTGCTCTCGTTGGCGGCCTCGCGGTGCTGCCTGTCCGTCTGGAACGAGAGAACGGCGGGCTCCGTGACGCCGGGCTTCGGGGGGACAGCTGCGCCCCACAGCTGCGAGGCCGGGCTGTGAGAAGAAGCTGGCTTCCCTCTCTGCCCGCCGTGGCCTGAGAGCGCCAGTGCGGGGCGGGGCTCCGGCCACCGGTCCTCTGCCCGCCCCTCAGGACGCTGTCTCCCCAAGACGACCTCCCGTCCCGGGTCGCTGCCCCGCGTGAGTCCCTCGGAGGGGCGCCTGCTCTCCCATCCCCGCCCGCCACCATGTTCATGCGGCCCTGGACACCACGCGGCCTGTGGCGTGGTTGCTGGCTGATTCGGGTTCCGTCTCTGTCTCAGGTGTGCGAGGAGAGCCTGTGGCCCTCTCGCTCTCTGCTGCACCCCAGGGCCTGGCGCCTGGCACACGGCAGGCGGCCGCTCGACACTTGCTGGATGGAGGGACAGAAGGATGGACAGTCGGTGGATCCCGGACTCTGCTCCCCGGAGTGTCGGGCACCTGATCCTGGACTCTCTGGGCGCCAGCTCAGGGGTACGGCACCCGCCCCTCTGCCTGAATGAGACGCCGAGCCCCCAGCAGCAACCGACACCGGGGGGCCGGGACCCAGCGGCCGCCGCAGCAGGCCGGCTGCTGGCAGGAGGAATGCGGCGGTGGGCCCCCCGCCAGCACGCCGGGCACCTCTGAGCTGCCCGCTCAGGGCGCTCTCCGGCCTCTGGCACTTCCTCAGAGCCGCCCCCTCCGCGGGAGACCGCAGCGTGACCTCTCCCCCCGGGGGCCGTCCCGGCGCGCCCCACGGGAGCCCCGTGTCCCCAGTGGTCGGCGAGGCCAGGCCCTGAGTGTTCCTCCGTCACCGCCTCCCAGAGTCTCCTCTGACCGTCCCCCGGGGCACATGCGGCCGCGTGAACGCTGCCCGTCCCTCCCCTCGCCTTCCGCCTCCAGCGTCTCAGGGTCACTGACGTGTTACGGGGCCTCTCACAGCCCCCCGAGCAGCCCCCTGGCCAGGACGCCCCCCCGCCCGGCCCCCGCCGCGAGGCCACCCTGGCTCCTCTAGTCACTGGCATGGTCACCTTCTCGGAGCCGCCTGTCCACCAGCTTTCCACCCGTGTCCTCCCAGCAGCACCAGGCTGCCCGGGGGTCTGCCCGCCACCTGCCCGGGGCCGCAGGACGCTCAGCTGTGCCCGCTGCACCCGCGGCCTGGGCGGTGCGAGTCTGCGGGCGGGTGGCGCGTCCTGGTTCCTCAGGGAAGCTCCCGAGGGGGCCGCTGTCGGGCAGCTGGACCTGCCGGCCGCAGGGCGTGTGGCTGAGAAACCGCAGGGCCGCCCGTCCCCGAGGTCACGCGGCTCTGGCGAATGAGCTTCACCGGAGCCCTACGGAGGCCCCCGGGAGCCCACGGAACACAGCTCCAGCTCGAGCGCCTCCGCGGAAACACCCGGAGATCCCGAGGCTCCGTTCGTTCTAGCCCTGCTCTCCTCGGCTACACCCGCCACGCTGCCCGGGACACCCCGGCCGGCGCCCCTCCCCACAGTCACGGAGGAGGGTGGTCTCCATGACCCATCCAGGGCTGCAGAACCTGCAGCCTGTCAGGTGGCAACGCACTTGGATTTGAGGCCCGCTGAAAGTGGAGAGACGCCCCCGCCCCCGCCCCCGCCGTGCTGACGAGAGCCGGTCGTGGCCGATGCTGGGACAGGGGGAGCCCCGTGTCTGCGGCCACGCAGGGCCACATGAGGCCACCAGCGGGGGAAACGGGGGTGTGAGAAACCCACAAAACCGAAGCTCCAAGTCGGACCCTGGCGGGGACCTGCCCAGCGTGGGTGCGGCCACCTTGGCAGTGGCCCTGGGCCCACGCCCCCCAGCCTGGCGCTGCACCTTGCTGTCACGATGGGCGGCACCTGTGGGCTGCTCGGGGCACGGGGTGGGGACCCGCACTGACCCACCCCCACCGGGCACTGAGGGCTGTGTGGGCCCAGCACTGCCTCCCCGGCGACCTCGGGCCCAGCCGGCCCTGCCCCGATGGAGGAATTTTAAACTCTGCCCCACCGACCACAACAAGCCCAGTGTGAGAGCGGTCAGAGGGCGGAGGGCGGAGGGCGGGCGGCGCTCGCTGGGGCCAGGGCCAAGGCCGCACCCCGACTGGGAATCTCTGGCCCTCCCGGCGGCTCCTGCCGTGGGAAACGCACAACCGCTCCCCGTGTGTCTGCAGTTTGCCACCAGACGGGGTTGAAGGCTGTGCCTGCAAAGTCCCCGGGGCCGTGGCCTGGGCTGCCACAGGGAAGGGAAGGGAAGGGAAGGGAAGGGAAGGGAAGGGAAGGGCTACACAGAAAATACGACATCAGCAAAATCCGCCCGGTCTTCCCTGCCTGCCTCCCCCCTGCCCTCCAGCCCGGACCCCGGCGGCCGGGCCGGGCCGGCCGACACGCTCTTCTGGAGGGCACAAGGGATGGGCGGCCGTCCCGTCCCCAGGGGGCCACCCGCACGGGGCCACGGCCTGGGATTCTCCTGCAGCCAGAACACCGTCCTGAGTCGTTAGCCCGAGTGTGAGCGTGGACGTGGGTCTGGGGACAGAGCTCACACTCAGAGCAGGCAGACGCCGCCCCAGAGCAAACCTGTGCCCTCAGCGGGGAGGGAGAAAATGCGGTTTTCACCAACCGCAAACCGAAAACAGAACTCCCCCCGCACCTGCCGCCGGGGCAGTGGCTGATAATCGGGGAATTCCATCCCGGGCCCGCCCCGGGGGCCTGTCGGGGCGTGGAACGGTTTCATTTGTGCGCAGATAATGGGGTGGCTGTGAGAGGTTATGAAATCCTGATCTCTTTTACAGCCCAATTCTGAAGCTGTTAATAATATCATATCATATTTATGGTCCCTGACCTGCTGACAAACCACGTTAAAAACGCTGTCATTTTCCATGGAAAGGGAGCCATTTTACCGAGAAAAGAAAGCGGGGATTTGGAATGCCACAATTTGCACCCTCGGACTGGCAGTGGGCGGGGGGGGGCGCCGGGGGGCCGGGACCCCCCTCCCCCGCATGTGTGGGTCTCCCACCGTCTGTCCCCCACTTCCCACTCTCTGCTCCTCCCTTTTCTAAGCTCCCGAGGAGAGAGGTTTAGCTCAAACTCCTCTGGGCCTGAAACACCCCCACGAAGAACAGCCTCTTCCCCGGAAGTTCTCTTCCTACGTACTCAGAGACAACCTTTCGAACGGGGAGAATCGTGACCCGTGCACAGACCTGAAGGGAAACACACCCGAGTCACGATGTGACTCGCGGCCCCTGTCGTCGCGAACACAGCACCCTCTGCTGCTCGGGGGTCGCCAGTGGGCGTGAGGCGGTGCTGCCCTCCAGGACAGGGCGCAGTCCCCGCCTCCTGCTCGGGCCCCTGGGACCTCGAGTCCCAGCGCAGGCTCCGGGCTCCATGCAGTCCCCGGGGACCAGCCCACGCAGAGGAAGGCGGGCTTCGGGGACCACCCAGGGCAACGTTCGCACGCCCAGAACAGCCCCTCCTTCTCAGCTCCAAGTGCCGGGGACCTGCTGCCCCTCCCGCAGTGCCCACGCCCACTCACGACCCCTCCGCTCTGGCTGCCGCCGCCCCGAGGACAGGCCACTCCTTCCCCAACAAAGCCATTCCTGAAAGCCCGCACGGTCCCCTGCGGTCACACCCGCCCAGGTGGCCCGCGGTGGCCCCCGAGACCAGCGCTTGTGGAGGCAGCTCGTGTGGCCGCCTGGTGTGCAGGCCCCTGTGGGGGGGCCCCGGGGGACGCCGCCCGGTGGTTCCCTCCTCCAGGAGAGGCAGAGGGGAGGGACGCCGGATGAGCGCCCTTCGTCCTCCCAGTGGAGGAGGGGAGAGTGGGCCCTGGTCCAGAGGGAGCTGCTCCGTGCAAAGCTGTGCCGGGGCTCGGAGATTCGGGAACCGCGAGGGCGGGGCGCAGGGGTGGGGCAGCCAGAGGGCGTCAGGGCTGTGCCTGGGGCGGGGGGGCGGTGCCAGGCCCTCCCTGACAGCAGCCAGCGGACCCCCTCCGCCAGCGGCCCCCCGGGACGAGCCCAGGGCCCCACGGCGAGCACGGCCACGCTCCGACCCCCACGCGAGACCCGCCTTCCTCCCCTGGGCAGCCGTCCCCCCGCGTGTCCCCCAGCTGGGCCCCGGTGTCCTCTCTGTCCCTCCACGTGCTCACCCCCTCCTCCTGCCGGGCGGCTGTGGCCCAGCCCCAGCGGGGACCCGGAGCCAACCGGGCAGGGGGTCCCCAGCACCCCTCTCTCGTGGGACCGCTCGGCTGCCTGAAGCTCGGGGGACGGAGCGGAGGGAGGGAGACACAGGTTCCCAGGCCCCGCACTCGGGTCCTGGACGCGGGCGTGTCCCCGAAACCCGGGAGGCCGGCCGAACCCGGTCCTTCCGGCCCCCAGACGTGGCCGGGGCCCCAGTGCAGGCGTCTCTCTCGTGTGGACTACAGAAAGTCCCAGGACCGACACCCCCTCATCACCGGGAGCGAGTTACTGATCCGGACGAGAGCCGGGCGGCGCCGGCTGGCCCTGCGCCCCGCCAGCGCACGGAGCCCAGCTCGGAACCCCCGCCTGCCCCGGCCGGGCTCTTCCCGGAGTGGGGGGGGGGCTCAGACCCGGGAAGCCACCGCCCCCAGTTCCCGGCAGCCCTGAGGGCGAGGGTCCAGGGGCACTCCCGCAGCTGCCGGGGGGCTGGAAAGAACAGTGTCCTCCAGGACAGGGGCTCCGAGACGACCGGGGTCCCCGCCCCCGCACCGCCCGGGCCTGTTCACAGTTTCGGAGAGTCTGCCGGCCCCACCCACCCTGCGGACGCCTGTTCTCCGGGGCCAGAGGGACGGACCACCAGCAGAGGCCCAGTTCCCTGTCCTTGAAGGCGGATGTTGCCACGTGACTGAGTTCTGAGTTCTGACCGGGTGGGGGGCAGGTGCCAGTGCACATGCCACACGGGGGTCCCGGGAGCCCCTTCAGAGGCCCTGACAGGCCTGAGCCCCCCCCCCCCAGAGACACGGAGGTGACGGGCGGAGTGCCAGCCACGTGGGCTCTGAGGGCAGGTCCCGGGCCACACCCTGCACAGTCCACACCCTGCTCGTTCCCCTCAGAGAGGAAGACAGGTCAGCGGTCAGGCCGCGGTCATGGGTGGGGGTGGCGGAGGGTGGGGGTGTTGACTGCGATCACGTTTCATAAGAAGCAAAGCCTCCTCCCAGGGGTTCAGCGCCCTCCACGCAGCTCGAGGGGGCTCCAGCCGACGCTGACTCGTTCCGCCTGGAGACCCCGCAGGGCAGACGGGAGCGCCGGCCCCAGCGGGCGGAAGGACGCAGCTCAGGACCTCATGGGGCTGCCGGGCATCTCCGAGGGTCACTGAGCACACTGCCCGGTCCCCTGAGCCTCCATCCCCATGGCGGGGAGCAGCTGCAGCGTGGGCACAGGGGTGCTACAACGCCCCGGCGTCCGGGACACAGGCTGGCGGTGGGGGAGTCTCCTGGCTGGGGGTCACTGGCCTCTCCCTGCTGAGAGGCCACATGGGAACAGAGGGGCGGCACCTGGCTATGGAGTCACTCTCGCGGAACCAGGGTCACCGCCCTCCTGTCACTGGGAGCTGGCCCCACCCCCCAGGGGTCGGGGACTCTGCTCCCGAGTGCAGCCCCGTGTGGCCCCGTGTGCTGTGCGTGTCATGACCCATGAACCTCCCTGGGTCTCAGGGGCGCAGCATCCAGTGCCCAGCCCCCACCCCCATCACCCGAGCGTGGGGTCCCGCCCTCACCGAGGGTGGACGGCAGCCTGTCGCCATGCGCAGCCACACGCTCCCCTCTGCGCGGAGGGGACACGCCTCTGCGCCCACCTCTCCTCGAGGCTCCGCCGGCCCCCTCGCGCCCCCTTCCCCTCCCCCCACCACACAGCACAGCAGCCTGCCCTGGGGCAACTCACTCCGGCTCGAAGGGGAGGGCCGCCCAGCCGTGCTGGGCAACGTGGAGGCGGCCTCCGAAGGAACCCTGAGCCCTGGGCAGCGCCGGGCGCGGCCGCCCTCAGCCGCCGTCCCTCTGGTATGATAAACACCACCTGCGCTGCCCTGCGGCCGGGCCGCGCTCCGAAACCCTGCTCCAAAAATAACTGCCGCCACCGACCACTAGACCAGGGCTGCTCCCCAGCTGACCTTTCCCTTCTCTCCCTTCTCTCCCAGCTGGCACCTCGGGGGCTCCGTGGAGACCGACGTGGAGCCCCAGCCCCCCGCCCCCCTCCCCGGCAGCCAGGAAGCCCGGGCGCCCCCACCCCCCACCCCGGCCCTGCCAGGGGCTCACTCTGGATCTGGACCCGGCGGGAGGCGAGACAGTGCAAAGGACCCTCAGAAAACGGGGCCCCGAGCCCCTGCCCAGAGCCCTCCCGAGCAGACAGGCCTTTCCCACGTGCCCCCCCCCGCCCCGAGCCCCCTGCGTCTCCACGGCCAGAGACTGTGCGTCCTCAGAGAAGAACGTTGCGCCTCCCGAGAGCACGGGGCTCCCCCTCCCGGCTGATGCGGCACCTCAGCCTCCCCCGCCGCCCAGGCCCAGGTCCCACGGCCCCGCAGAGCTTCCCGCACCTGCCCGGGCCTCGCCGGGGGCCGGGGGTGGGCAGGAGCCCCCCCCACCCCGTCCCTCAGGGTGGCCATCCCGCTGGGTGGTGATGGCCGCACGAGGCTTTACCCCGGAAGACCCGCTCTGTATCGTCCGTGGTCGGCAGCCAGAGTGGTCGCATGCAGACACGGGCCGCACGCACGCACGCGAGGGCGGTGACGGGGGAGGTCGCGGGGTGGGCGCCGGCCGGAGCCCAGCTCCTGCCTGAGCCGACAGCGACGCCGCCGCCGACCCTGAGCCGGGACGGGAGGGCGGACCGCGGTGACGTCGACGCCGCCGCTCGACGCGGGGGGGAGGCATGGGAACGCCGTCCCACTGTGCGGTTTTCAGGTTTCAAGTCGTTTCAGATAAAAAGCCGAGAGAGAAAAGTCACGGGGGCTGCAACCCCTGGCCGCACGGGCCGGTCCGACCCGCAGGCTGGCGCCGGGCCCAGCCCCTCACTCAGAACCGAGCCGGGAGACGGCGGCGCATCCGTCCGGCCGACAGCCAGCGTCGCGGCAAGAACTGCCCCCCGCCAACAAGGTTGTTCACTGTAGCCAGGGCCCGCCCCCCCCACACGTCCGTCCGTCCGTCTGTCCATCCGTCTGTCCGTGAAGCTGCCCCGGCCTCAGAGCCCTTTCCACCCCATGCCGGGATATCCACCCAGGCCGCGCGGCCGCCCCACCTGCCTGCCGGCCCTCCCTGCCCCTCAGGCAGGGTCCCCGACACGGGCCGCTGGGCCGGCACCGGCAGCTGCACAGACCCTTCCCAGGGCGACCCCGACGACCGGAGGTCCCTGCGAGCCAGGCCACACCAAAGGGCAGAAAGGGGCGCGCGGCCCTGACTCACCAACTCGTGGGCCAGACGCACGGTGACCAGCGGAGAGGCCGACAGGTTCTGGGAGAGCGTGGGCGGCGGGGCGACCTCCAGGGAGATGAGGTGGCTGGCGGCGGACAGCAGGCAGCCCTGGTGAGCCGCTGCCTCGGCGATCCTGGGGGGGGGGGGGGGTCACCACGCGGAGGGGAGGGGGGCGCGGCGAGAAGCCTGCCCCGCCGGCCAGGGGAGTCTGTGGGGACAGAGCTCTGGTTTCCCGCGGTCAGGGCCGGCTGCCCCCGCCCGGGGGGTCCCCGCGCCGGCGCCGGCCTGAGGCTGGGCCCTGCGCTCGGCGTCCGAACCCGGAGCCTGAGTCCCGAGGCTCAGACCCGGCCCCTCTGCGGCCCGACGCCGGCGCCACAGGTGGCACGGGCTCTGGTCTCGCAGAGCTCACCGATTTCTTTTTTACGTTTTACGTTTTCCTTTGCATTAAATTCACTGGGGTGACGCGGGGTCACACGATGACGCAGGTCGCAGGCTCGCGGTCCCAGCGCGTCCCCGGCACCATCGCAGGGTCCACGACGTGGGGGGGCGCCCCGGGAGCGTGGAGGACACAGAGGTCTCTCCTTGGGGGGCCAGCCGCTCCCTGTGGTGCGAGTGGGGCTGACCCATCCCGAGCCCTAGGAGTCTCGTGAGCTTAACTGGCCAGTGAGAGCGCAGGACCCTCTGGCCCCCACGACTGGGGAAGCGGGACGGGCCCACGGCCCAAATGGGCCAGTCACAGCTGTCCCTGGGTCTCCGTGGGGTGGGGGGGTCACGTACACAGACCTGGCCCATGAGTGGGCACAGGACCCAGGTGGGCCAACTGCAGCCCTCCCCGGTCTCCACGGGTGCACCGGGAAAGAGAGCCCCTCCTCCTGGCCCTGGACCCAAACCTGCGCGGGTTCGAAGCCACCGGAGCCAGCCATACCCCCAGGCGGGGCCTTCCAGACATGAACCCACATGCAGGAGACGGGAGCAGGAGACAGAGGCAGGTCTAGAGGGTCCTCTGGGTCCCTGGGTCCAGCCGGGCCTGAAGCTGACGCGCTCCCGCCCTTCCCAGGCCCCTGGGCCCTCCATCCCCAGCCTTCCGCGTGAACTGGCGTGTCCAGCCCAGTCCCGGCAGACGGAGGGGTGTGCTGCCGTCACGGTCACCGAAGTGGAACCTGAGACCCGGGGTGGTCGAGGCACGAACCCAAGGCCACCGGCCAGCTCCAGGGGGTGCCGCAACCCGACCCAGCCTGCGGGCCTGGCCGCCGCGCTCTCGACCTGCCCCTCGGGGCTCGCCGACCCCCCGCTGGGGCCCCTGCGTCTCCTTCCAGGGCCACAGCACTTCCTCGCACTGACGCCGCGGCGTCGGGCGCTGGCGTCGGGAGGCCCAACGTGGTGCACGCCCGTGCCGGGGAGGTGGGCGGGTCGCTGTGGTCAGCCCGTGTGTGAGCGCACACTCACACACCGCCCCCCACCACGTCCCCCCTGCGCCGTGGGGCCCCAGGACTCACCTGGTGCCGTCCGGGCGGATGCTCCTCAGGTAGCGGTGCATCGTGTGGTAGAGCAGGCCCACGACGGTGGTCCAGTCTGGGGGGGCAGGGGGCGGGGCCCTGTGTCAGCGTTCCGGGTGACGGGCAGGAGAGCCACGGAGCCCCCAGCCGGGCCCCCTTGCCTGGCAGCGCGGGCCCTCGAGCGAGAACCAGGGGAGAAGGCCCTGAGGGGCCCTCCCGAGACTCCGAGTCTCGTCCACCGTGACAGCAGCTCTCTGCTCGCCCCCGAGCTGACTCTCGCTGGCGGACACCGAGGCTCCCGGGGGGGTGGGGGGGGCAGGCGCTACCGGACCCGGGCGGGCCCTGAAGGCCCAGGCCCCCGAGGGCTGCAGACGCAGGGCCAGCCTGCAGCCCTGGGGCCTGGGCACGGGTGTCTGCCGTCTGCCTGTGGGGTGTCAGAGCCACCCCGCCCCGAGTGGGCCGTCACCACTGTCCTTCCTGCCGGCAGCTGGCCCCCCTCTGGGCCCCCCCTCTGCCACGACATCCTTGGGACGGGACCTCCTGGGACTCGGAGCCTTTCTGGCGGGTCACACAGCCGTGAAAAGGCCACGTGTGTGGTTGGGGGGCCATGGCATCGTCTGCACCCCCTTTCTGAAGTTTGCCCAAGTGTGGGGGACGGCCCCTGGGGGCAGGACATGGCCGCCTCGGGGGTGGGCCTCGGGGAAGACCGCAGTGCATCCCCCTCCCCCCCCCACCCGAGGGCCTGGGGCACCCACCGTGGCTGCGGAAGGCCTCGTGGGGGATCTCGATGTAGCTGGAGCCCTGGGCTGGGAAGCGGTAGTGGGAGAAGTTCAAGGTCTTGGGCAGGAGCTTGGCCACGGAGAACTCTGAGGGGGAGAGGGAGAGGGAGAGGCAGGGAAGGTGGTCAGTACCTCCAGGCCGGGGTCCGTGGGACCCCCACCGGCTTCGGTTTGTTGTAGCAGAACACGCCCCCCGGGGGTGCAGGCGCCTCAGAAAAGGGGGACCTGCAAAAACGAGAGTCTGGGACGCACAGTCACGTGCCCGCCCAGCTGGCGCTCAGGGGACTCTACCAGCAGAGCCCGCTTCCCGACGCCCGCCTGGAACTCACGCACGGCAGGGGCGCGGCCCGCGGCCCCGTCGAACGGGACGGGGTGCCGTGGGCACGTCGCACCGGGCGCCGGCTCTCGCTCTGTCCCCCCCCCCGCCCCCTCAGAGCGGCTCGTGAAGGACAACGGAGCCGGCGGGCCGCGACGTGCGAGGCGGCCAGCGTGCGCGTGACGGACGCGGGGCCCGGCGGGCACAGCCCCAGGGAAGCCGCCCCCCGCCCCCCCGCCCGCCCGCGTGTGCCGCCGCCGGCCCGCCGAGCACCTGCCAAGGAGGAGGAGCCCGCGAAGGCGACCGGGGACCCGTCGGTGTGCAGGTTGGAGGAGATGTGCCGCATGACGGTGTCCACGGTGTCTATCAGGCCCGGCACCACGGCGTCGTCCTGGAAACAGCACAGGAGGGCGCTGGGGCCCGGGGCCGAGGGACCCACCGGTGCCCCAGACGCACGAGGTCAGGGGGGCGCCCGCCCGGTGGACACTGGTTCACAGGGAGACGGACGCCCTGCGTCCACCGAGTCGTCTCGGGCTGGGCTCTGTCCTCACAACGACTCTGGTCCTGGGAACACAGGTGCATCATGGGAAGCTCCAGCTGAGGAAGTGGCGAGCGGGTCCACCGTGACCCCCTTCCTCAGGCGTGGCGGTGACCCGAGGTCACGCAGCACGCCAAGCTCTCGGGATGTGGACCCGGTCACACGGGGGGACAGACGCCCAGACACGGGGGACAGACGCCCGTCCCAGCACCACTCTGGACTCGCTGAGGAGCCTCAGCAGGCCTCCGCACTGGCCCCCGCCCGCCCCGCCCACAAGGAGGGGCGGGTCTCCCCCACATCCCCTCAGGCCTGGGGACACCAGAGGTTTTGTCCTCTTCTCTGAGCGGGGCGGGATGCACCGGAGCTGCCGGCACCCCAAATGGTCTCTGCTTCCTTGACTCGCCTGGTGCTCCCTCCGCTCATTCTGGGTCCCCAAGGCAGAGGGGGTGCCGGTGGACGCCACCCCCACGAACACAGGGTCCCCCGCCCCGGCGCCCCCGCCCCTGCAGCCAGCTCAGCGCCTGCACTCCAGGCCGACTGTCCCTCATCGCCAGACGCACCTGCTGTCACCTCCTCTCCTCCCGCCTTTCTGACAACTGCCACCTGCTGCTGAGGGTCCTCGGCGTTTTCCCCCAGACCCAGGCGAGCCCCCGAGAACCGTTTCCGGCTCTCGGCTCTGCTGGGGAGTGGCCGAGTCGCACCTCCACCCGGGGTCTGCTTGCCGCCGAGGCCCCGCGCGCGTGCCTGGCGGAGCCCGAGCCCGTGTTGCCGGAAGATGCTGGAGGACGGGCCGCACCCAACAGTCCGGGCCTGGGCCGCGCGAGCGCAGCAGCGAACTGCAGCCTGGACCCGAGCGGTGGACGGGGGCCGCGCACCATCACCGTCTCCCGGGCTCGGGACTTCCGGCGGCTCTTCCTACGCGTCCCTGCCCGCCCTCCCTAACGTCTCCACAGGGTCCCCTCGCTTCCGTTTCTGAAGGAGCCAGACCCAGGAGGCGCGTTTGCAGAGGCACAGAGAACCGAGTCCGGTCTCCTCCCCGGTCCCGTGGGTGCGGAGAACAGCAGGCACCCTCTCGCTTTCCCACTTGGGCTCGCAGAGGGCCTCTCTGTCACCTTCCTCCCACCCGATCTCGCGGCTTCGCACCTCCAGGGCGTGCCTGACTGCTGCCCCGGCAGCCCGGGGCCAGGAGGACTGCAGGTTGGGAGTGGTCAGCCCGCCGAGGCCGGTGCCGCTGGGCGGCCGTGCAGGACACGGCCCCCCGAGTCCACCGGCCCCTCACCACCCCGGTTCGGGGCCCAGAGCCGTGTCGCCTTCCGGGTGCGACCGGGCTGTCTCTAAGCCGTACCGGGAAGACTAGCTGGTCCTCACCTCGGACACGGCCGTCCAGCTGGGCAGCAGCAGCAGCTCCCCCACCGTCCGCAGGAACGTCTAGGAGAGACAGGAGGACACGGCTGCCCACGCGCCTCCGGTCTCAGGGCCAAAAGACGGCCCCCACCCTGGCCCCCGCCGGCGTGCCGCCGGACGGGAATTCTGCCGCCGACACCGTCCCGGCGCCGCGCTCATGCCAGGTGGACGGTGGCCTGTGGCCCACGGCGCAGTCTGCGGGAGACCTGCTCCGCCTCTCGCCGGGGGCCGGCGGGGCTCAGAGCAGGAGAGGCCGCCCCAGATGCCCACGGGCCGGCCGGCCGGTGCTGGGGACACAGCCCCACGGCCCCTGCGAAGGGGGCCCCGCTGCCCCGTGAGAGCCGGCTGGGGCGGCCGCGCCCTCCGGTTGCTAGTGACAACCCGAAGTCCGGGCCTTGAGGTCGGAGCTCCCAGTGTTTTCTGAGCGGGTCGGACAACCCGCACGAGTCCGCCGTGGCCCGGGGCCCCCGCAGCCCGCGCTCGGGAGGGCTTTACCTCGGTCAGGTTCCGCGCCGTGTCCGGGGAGAGGCTTTTGTCGGGCAAGCTGAGGGACACGTTCTGCAGGTAGTTCAGCACCACCCCGGGATTCTGGAAGTTTCTCCGCTCCTCCGTCAGGTTGGCGATGACTGGGCGGTAGGCGTCGGTGGGCACCTGCAGGCAGGTCCGCGGCGTGAGCTCCTGCCGGGAACAGGAGCCCGCACCCCCGCCCCGTGCCCCGGCCTCCCGTCTCACGCCGGCCCCCACAGTGGTGGTGAGGACGGTCCCCCGGGACAGATGCCGCCACGTCCCGGTGTCACCGTCCCCTCCTCACCCCGGCCTCAGGGAACCCGCACCCGTTTCCTGGGTGACGCGAAGCCCAGAGGGACGGAGGCCAAACTACGTGGCCTCCGTAGCTGGGATTTGAACCCACGCAGGCGGCTCAGGGTGGACAGCTCGCTGCCGCATCAGAGCTGCCTGGTCACGCGTGCAAACCCCAGAGGGACCTCCTCTGTGCGGATGGCCCTGTGCTCGAGTGCCGGAGTGGAGGGGCAAGGAGGGCCGCTGGGCCGCCCGCCCGGGGGACGCCCCAGCGCCCGGCTGTGCGGGGGACGTCTCACTGTCCCGAGTGCTCCTCAGGCCCCTGGGGTCACGGCCATGCGGGGCAGGGACGCTTCTCTCCGCACCTGGTGCGCCACCCACCTGGCCTCCCCTCCGTGCACCCCGTCTTCCTGGACCCCACACCGCCCACAGGGGACAGCGGGCTGCCCAGCGGGCTCTCGGCGGGCCTGCACGGAGCCCCGCCCTGGCCCGGCGAGGCCGGCACGTGGGGACAGTGGGCACTCGCGTCTGCTCACCGGGGCGCCGGCCGTGGGCGTGACGAGGAAGCTGGGCGGTGTCGGGGACAGCCCGCTGTGCTTTCCTGGGGAGAAGGGAGAGTGATCAAAGGCAGAAATACCGGCACTGGGCCCCCTAAGGAAGCTCCATCCCCCAAGGAAGCTCCGCCCGCTTCAGACACAGCCCCCGAGGCCGGGGCTGGGGCGGGATGGTTTCCGGAGATGAAGGGCTAATACATGAGCTGAGTGGGCAGTCTGCACAGACTTCCCAGGTCGAGTTATCTTTCCATTTGTATCCTCCTTGCTTACGGACGCCGTTCCTGTGAGCCGCCGCCTGGGAAGGTGAGTTTACACCACTTCCTCAACCCCAGGCCGATCAAGAGCCGAAGGAACGGCTTCGACTGCGGCCAGACGTGCAAGACAGATGGTGGACCGCCGGCAGGAACGCCTCCCCCGCCAGCCCCGCCCTCCAGACTGGGGGGTGGGAGCCAAGCGAAGGGGGGTCCTCCCGGCCCCTCGCCCTGACGGCGCAGGAACTCCTTCCGTTCAGAACTCCGTTTGGTGAGTTGTGAACGGCGACAAACGGTTCATCGTGAATAATCATGCGCAGTCATAACGAGCGAGGACACCCCAGACCCAGGGCCCCGCTGCGGCTGAGGGCACTCCCCCTGGCTCGGCGCAATCCTGGAAGGTCGCTTGAGGTGACCTGGAGGGTGGCCTAGAGGGTGACCCCGTCGCCCCTCATTTGCTCCGGGAGAGCTGGCCCCTGGGCCGGGGTGGGCTGGGAGAAGGTGGGGTGCCGCCCGGGCGCCCGCACCTAGAAACGCTGTCTCCCAGGCAGAGCGGCACTCGCCCTGCAGCGCCCAGGACGCGCCGAGGAGCCGCCCCGGGGAGGCACTCGGTCAAGCCAAGGACGAGAAACGGGTGTCCCTCCGTCCGAGGGCAGCCTCTGTCCCCGCCGCCCATACGTGCGCCGGGGAGACACCGTCCGGCCACGGTGCCCTGAGCAGCAGGGTCTCTCGAGCCTGTGCTGGGTGAAGCCCGGCCAGTGACGAGCGACCCACTCCGTGCCTTAGGCTGGGTTAGAAGGGGTCACGCCCTCTAGGCAGAGCACTCGGATGGGATCAGATGAGGCCCCCCGCCCCCCCCCACCCCAGGCAGGTCACTCGGAGACACGTCCCTCCAGGCACCTGCCGCCCCAGGTCCCCGTGTGGAGAGCGAGTCCTGCTGAGGACACGGTGCCCCTGGGCCCTGCCGAGCATCAGCCCAGCTGCTGGTCTGAGTGCAGTGGCCTGACCTGGCTCTGGGGACGTCAGGGTCACTTTCCCTACGCATGCTTTACCCCACGCACCCCGACACAGGACAGGTCCCCACGGGACGTGGTCTTCCAGTGGGTCCAGATCCAGACCGGCAATGGCTCCCCTGGATGCCAGCGCCAACAGAACACCTGTGCCCACCCCCAGGGACTCAGACGCCCTCCCTCGGGGGCGGAGCCCCCTGAAACGCTGCCCCGGGTCGGGTCCCGGAGCCCAGAATGTCCGGTGACAAGGGTCTGCTGTGACAGCTACCGGAGGCAGTGTCACTGGAGCCGTGAGCCGTCGGGAAGGCAGGGTGTGTCTGTGGTCCTGTGTGACACAGACATCGGCCGCGTCGGTGTGACAGGTCCCTGGCTGCTGGGCCGCGAAAGGCGGTAGATCGATTCCCTCGCTCCCCCTGGAGGACACTCCATTTTGTCCCCTGTCACTTCCATGAAAGGGAATGAATTTCATTTTCTAGTGACAGATGGAAGTGTCAGCGGCTGCAGGGGACACAGCGGGCATCCCTGTGCTGCTGAGACCAGCACCATGCTTTCCCCCGGGTTTCAGACACGGCTGAGCCCACCCCACTGCCGTGCCAGGGTCGGGGGGGGGCCCAGGCCGCTGGGAGTCAGCACATCAGACCCCCCGGCCACAGGGAGGGGCCCCGCAAAGTGCAGGGACCAGCTGGGCAGGGGAGAGGTGCGGCCAGTCCTGTCTCAGGAGATGGCCAAATGAGGACCCCTTGCTTTCTGCGGAGGTCGCCGGAGCAGGAGGATGGCCTGACTCTGGGGCAATGGCAGCCACATTATCACCCCGAGGAAGCTCGGAGGCAGGGTCAGACAGGGGTCCCTCATGACATCATTTGAGCACCTGGATCAAACCAGTTCTGAAGCAGGTCCTTCCACGGTTTCCATTATGTGAGATTAAAAAAAAAAACCCTATCTTGGCCTCAGTTGTCACATGGTTGGGTTTTCTGTCACAGACTCTTCCAAGTCCTAACAACTGAGAGGCTCCATGTCGGGACCTGGGCTGTTCACCCCCGGCCCTGACCCCCCACGTCCCCACTGCTCTGGGGTCAGTGCAGTGGCCAAACAAGGAATGTCTGTGACGTGCTGCATGGTGACTGTGCCTCGTGGCCTGGTTATTTCACGTGAAAGTGAAGAAACAGCATACTCTCTTGTGGGCAGAATGAAAAGGGGATTGTAATGAAAGTAAACATTCACTCTGAGTCCTGGCTGGTGTGGCTCAGTGGGTTGAGTACCAGCCTGCAAACCAAGGGGTCGCTGGTTCGATTCCCAGTCAGGGCACATGCCTGCATTGTGGGCCAGGTCCCCAGTAGGGGGCGTGCGAGAGGAAACCACATATGATGTTTCTCTCCATCTCTCCTTTCTCCTTTCCCCTCTGTCTAAAAATAAATAAATAAAATGTTTTAAAAAACCCATTCATGTTGAAAGGAGCTGAAAACGTGTGGGGGCACGGCCCTGTGCTCTGGCCTCATGGCTCGTCACGGCTCGTCACGCCTCCTCACCCCTCGTCTTCCCAGCCCCTGGCTCAGGGCAGGGTGTCGGGGCGTCAACCCCTCACAGAGGCGAGGCGGGGGTGTGCAGGGAGGAAGACTCCCAAGGTCGCGTGTCACGCAGTCCCAGTCACAGGGAATACCCAGGGGGGACGAACCCACAGAGGCGGGCAGTTAACGCTGACGGGGCCCCCCGAGGGGGTGGGAGGGGCAGGCCCCCTCGGGCCAGGGGTGCTTGCAGCCTGGGGGCAGGCCTGCACGGTGTGCGCACGGTGACCGCCACCCACGGTGCTTCGCAGCGGGGAGGCTGGGGCTGTGTCAACTTTACCTGGATGCAAACCCACCAAACCCAAACAGAGAAAATGGGGCCGCCCAGTTCCCACGACTCCTGGGAGCTGGGGGCAGCTTGAACCCCGGCCCGCAGGCCCCTCGGGCCCCCTCTGTGCGGGGCAGGGAGGGGCAGCCCCAGGCACCCCGAGGGCCCTCCAGTGAGCCGGGCGCGCGGGCAGCCAATGGCAGACATGCACCTGTCCGATGCACGGACGGGCCTGGGGTTTTTGCCCCCCAAAGCTTTCTGGATTCATCCGTCACACGGACTGAGAAAGTCCGGGTCTCCGGAGGCCATTAATCTAAGTGAGTTTCTGGCAAACGGCTACTTCCTCTGCCTTAGGGAACAGGTGTTCCAGAAAAAGCCGTTGTATTTATGGGGTTCACCGGGACACTCGCGCCCGCAGTGCTGACGCTGCATGGGGGCGTGGGGAGGAGGCGCCCCCAGGGCAGACGCCGGCCATCCCTGCCCGCACCACACACGCACTGGCCCCGCCCCAGGGTCCGCCCCCACGGCCCCGCCCAGGCCCCGCCCCACCCAGGCCCCGCCCCCAGCCCACGGCCCCGGTCCACGGCCCCGCCCCCACAGCCCCGCCCCCGCGCTGCCCCATGGCCCCGCCCCACACGGCCCCGCCCCGCCCAGGCCCCGCCCCACACGGCCCCACCCAGGCCCCGCCCCCACAGCCCCGCCCCCGCGCGGCCCCCCACTGACCTACGGCCGCCCAGAAGTACAGCGCGACCTCCTCCGGCGTCAGCGCCCGCTCCCAGATGACGAACTCGTCGAAAGCCCCGTTCTCGTAGCACCTGCTGCGGTCCTGCCCCGAGCCGATCACCAGGTTGGCGCCGGGCTCCCCGTAGGCGTGGGACACCTTCCCGCGGGGGTCCGCCGCGCTCAGGGTGCGGTTGACGTAGACCTTCAGGCCCTCCTTGGACCTCCAGGTGAACAGGACGTGCGTCCAGTAGGGGCCTGGGGACAGCGAGACCGCCATGCCGCGCGCCGCCGTGGGAGGGGGGCGCCCCTCGTTCTTGACTTGGCTGGTCCCCGCTGCCGTGGGCGAGTCCGCAGGTGGGTCCTCCCGCGGGCCTGGCCCCGCCCCGCCCCCCGGGGCGCGGGAGGGGAACTGCCCCCACCCCCCGGTCCCGAAGGCGCTCCAGGAGACCCTCCGCTGCTGTAAGTAAGTAAGAGCCTCCTCTCTTTCACACTCAGATGGAGCGATAACCAGTGGCCGCGAGTTCCTCAGGGCGCGCTTCAAATCCTCGGCCTGCAGCCTAGCCTAACCACCTTCGGTTCCAGGGTTCGCAGGGCGCGAGACCTCAGCCGGCGTGGGGGCCCCCGTGGGGGCCGGGGCGCGCTCGCCAGCGGGAGGGGCGACCACGTGAGTCGGCCCCGCCGGGGCCGGGCTCCGGTCCGCGCATGCCGTGTGTCCGCACGCCCTCGCGGACGTGCTCCCGGGAGGCACCGGCCGCCCCGGGCCCCGGGCGCCCCCGAGCTCGCCCAGCGGTTCCATCACGGCCCCCCCCCCCCCCCGCCCGCTCTGGGCGGAGCACCTTTCTGGCTCCGAGCCCCTGCGGAGCACGCGGACCTAGGTCGGCCCGAGGTATTCTTGCCCGTGGGCTGGGAGTGGGGAGACGGAACCCTTCGAGGGGCGGCGACTCCCCACCTCCCGGGGCGGGAGCGCAGCCAGGGCTCCGCTGGCCTCCCCTTAAAACGTGCCCGGGCCCCACGAGGTGCCCGGCACCGAGCCAGCCCCGCAGAGCAGCAGGCTGGGACTCCTGCTCGAGGCTCTGATGGCAGCTGCCACGGGCCGAGGGCCACAAACAGCGCAGGCGGTTCTCGGGGGACGGGGCAGAGGCCGTCTCCGGTCCCCAGGACCGGAGAGGACAGAAGTGCAAGAGCCTCTCCAGGTCCCAGTCTGCGGGACTCCCCTCCCCTCTGGGCGGAGGGGGGAGCCCGGCCCCTCGTGCATGTGTGCACTGGGCTCCGTGGGCTTCCCGCATGCAGGCTGCGGGCGGCTCCCGTTAGGAGCGAGGAGGCCGCGGTGGCCGCACAGCTCACACGCACAAGGGACCCGACCCAGGCTGCCGGCTCCGGCTCCATGTTTTGTAACTGAGACTGGCGGCCTCCTTTCAAGGGGCCAGAAAGCGAGCTTTCCTTAAATATCTGACGGCGGAGGCCGTTTCCTCCTGGAGGACACCATTCTCGCCTCAGTCTGCCCCCCGGCCTCCGCACTTCCCATCTCGTCACCCCCGAGACACCCCACACACTTCCGAGTCCCCGTCACCTCTCCCCTGCCAGCTCCTCGCTTGTACCACCCCCCCCACACCCGGGGGTGACCTGTGGCAAGGAGCCACGGGAAAGCGAGAGTCACCAGATGGAACCACGCCGGCCTCTCGGCAGCTGCCCGGTGAGCACGCCCCCCCCCCCCGCCCAGGGCGCCCCCCCCACCAGACGTCTCCCCGAGCAGCCCCTACGGGAAGGGGCTCTGAGCCGGGGGTGTCCCCGGGCCCCTCGGGGCTGGCGGCGCCCTTACCTGGCAGGCTGAAGGTGGCCTCCCACGTCATGAACTTGTCCCGCGCGTACAGCTCCACGGAGCCCTTGCCGTCACTGGAGCAGATCTTGAACCCCTCGGAAATGACCTGCCCGCCGTACGCAGAGGAGGCCGGCCGGGACTGCGCGCCTTGGGTCTTCCAGAAGAAAGAGAAGGTGACCCCTGAGGAAGGGAGAGGCGTCGGGTTGTGGCCGCCGACAAGCAGAAGAGGCTTCTTAGCCTCTCCGCTCTTTCTCACTGCAAGCAGCACCTTTTCTCCTCCCACTGGAGGCAGGGCGCACCCCGCTCAGAAAGCACGGGCAGAAACGACGGGAGAGATTTACCAGGAGCTCACTGAGTGCCAGGCACGCTCCGGAGAGCCCTAAGGGGCCGCATGCCCAGCTGCCACGAAGACCCGCCGCTACGCAGGCGGCGAGGCGGAGGCCACACGCCCCAGGCCGCCGGCCGAGCGGCCGACCGAGGTTCGCGTCAACGCCCAGCTGCCTGGCCGCAGGCAGAGGTCTCCGGTCACCGGCGCCGGCCGTCCGCACGGCTCCGGCTGAGCCAGGGAGTCCGCTCGTTTTTTCCGTGAAAGGACAGACATGCTTCTCCTCCTCACCAGTGACTTTATCGGTCGGGACCGTCTCAGTGTGCCGGCTCTCTCCCGCGTGGGAGAGCGCCCACTGTTCTCAGTCGATGTCCCCATCTGACGGCCGTCACCTTCGCACGGCCCACCCGGCCTCGGAGCGCCGTCCGGGGAGAAACCGGCAGCGCGAGGCCTCGCAGACCGCCCCCGACACGTCCACCAGGCACAGCGCCCGCTCCGCACACGGCACACGTCTTTTCCCGTGTTCCAGCTGCGCTTTCACCTTCCTTGCAGTAACAAAGCATAACATGCTGGAAACGTTGCTTGTTTTCTTCCACCTTCGGTATTTAAATGGCTACACAAACATTCACCAGTTTTGATAAGTTTTTTAAAACTGCACGCCGATTCGACAGCCTTCACGACACAACCCGACGACGCTGTTTCAGATGGAGTTAGACAACCGAGCGCTGCCAGAGCATCGGACAGGACACAACCCCGAGAACCGCTGGCCGAGCCCGCAGCTCCTTCCGTGTCTCGTCTCTGAAAATACCTCGAGAAGGAAGGGCGGATGCCTGCTCCCTGCTCCACCAACCACGGGCTCCTTCCTGCGCGCGACCGTCCTCCGGCGCCCGCGGGCACGCTTCTGCGTCTGCACGAGGCGTCCGCACGGCGTCCCCTTCCAACACCGTCAGCTTTTCGGCCCCCGCAGAACTGGAAGCTCGCCCTGCGTCCCCCACAGAACTGGAGGCTCACCCTGCTTGCAGGTCTGGGAGGAGGTGCGTCGGCATGAAGCCCGGCCGGGAACTTCTGCTCAAGGGGAGCCGCTGTTAGGGGTCGGAGAGCGGCCACGGTTGGCTCCCCAGGGAGGGACGGAGCGGGGTGCACAGGGGCCCGCCCGGGCGTGGGTGGGGCCCCGCGGACCCATGGCCTTGCCCGCAGGCTGGAGGGAGCGCCCCAAACTCCGTGTCCCTCCGTCACTGGGAGCCGCCGGAGCCTGGAGGGCCCAGCCGCCCCGAGGGTGCAGGCCTGGCCCGAGGCCACCTTCCTGCCCGGGGGCTGGGCCCCGGGCGAGGGCAGCGGCGTCCACACCTGGCTGGAGGCTCGGCCGGACCCCAGACGGTGAGCCACTGTCTCTCAGAGCGCTGACAGGGTCGGTCTGCTTCTCTGACCCCCGTGACCTTTACCCTTGTCTGCCCGAGGGCGACTGCGTGTGCGTGCACGAGTGTGTGAGTGTGCACGGGTGCACGGCCAGCCGTCTGCCTGGACTCGGCGTGAGGAAGTGGAGACAGGCCCAGTTGCCTCCGCCCCCAAGCCTGGCCGGGCTCCGGGTGCGCGAGCTCGGCGACACGGGCGGATGCGGACGGAGGGCCATGCCCAGAGCCAGGCGGCACAGGCCCAGCACAGGGGTGGGGGCAGAGGGGCAGCCACGGGCCCGGTCCGTGGTACGAATCCAGGCCTTCGGGTTTATCCTCGGGCGGCGTGAGGGTCGGTCTCCAAGAGTCACTGAAAAGAAACCGTTTGTCGTTGACTACACGCTCGGCTCGCAGCGGCGGCCGGCCTGTCACGTGTTACGAGTGGACGTGTCTGTGACGCTGTTCACGCGTGGCTTGTAGCGACGGAACTGTCGCCGGTTGACAGTTGTGTTGCACTGCACGTTGGTGAGTTCCAAGCCCTGATGTGATCAACGTGAGTGTGCAAAACACACGTAATTACATAACCTGGTTTGGAAGCTCTTCGTTCTTTAGAAACACGTGAGGCCTGGCTGGGTGCATTGTTGCTCCCTGCACCCAGAGGTTCAACCCCTGGTCAGAGAGCGTCCGGGAGGCAACCGATCCATATTTCTCACATCGCTGTTTCTCTCCCTCCCTTCCCCTCCCCCCTCTAAAATCAATAAACGTATCCTCAGATGAAGAGTAAAATGTGTGTGTGTGTGTCCTCAGGAAAATGGAAGGGCCTGGACCTTCCTGGACCTTCCTTGACCTCGGAGAGGCTCAGGCTGGAAGCTGAAAAAGGCACAACGTCCTCCGGGCCCGTCAGGGAAGTGCAAGTCCTCAGAGGCAGCCTGTGGTGTGGTCAGCACGACAGACCGGCCTTGGGAAGGTCACTCGGAGGGCGGCTGTGCTGTCCAGGGCCTGGCCGCGCCTCCCGAGCCCGCTCCCTGCAGAGGCGGCCGGCGCAGGCTCAAAGGTGGGGTCACCGCCATGTCTCCCACCGGCCTCACGCAGGGCGGGACAGCAGAGCCCCGAGACGGGCCCCCCGATCTCAGGAACAGCCAGTTTCACGGGGAGACGCACGTGCATATTGCGAAACGTTTGTTATGAAACACATTCCCCGTAGGATTTGTGGAAGTCAGTTTTTTCCAAACACTTTGCTGCATTTAAAAATTTGTTGCATTCCACCCTGTCTTGGCCCAATGCCTTTCTGTCCAGGAAGAAAAGTAGAGCTTCTAACTCAGTGTGCCATGAGGGGAGCAAGGCAGACGCCGCCGTGCCCGGGCCCATCACCAGTGGCCGTTCCGCCCGCGGCCTGGACGGGGGCCCCGCCGGGGGCAGGCTGGTGCTTGGACATCCACTCACGGCTCCACCGAGTCCTCAGGGAGCCGCAGCGAGCCTTCCGTGTGAGCACTGTCGGGGGCTCTGCGGCGGGCACCCGGGGGTGTCAGTGCAAAGGAGAACTCCGACGAGAAAACTGCTGAGTGCAACACGGGCCAACTAGTTCAACCCTTTTTTCTTCTCACGAGCGTGGAACCCTAATCTGCCCAGAAAACACAGTGAGGAAGGGTCTGTGCCAACGAGACGAAGAAAGAAAAGGAAAACTATCCAGATGTCGCAGGAGACACGGAGACGCTCGAGCGCGTGAACGTTACGGAGTTCTGCCCGGCGAGGAGCACGCGGCCGCAGAGTCAGGAGACAGACGACGTGCCGGGGGGCACAGCGCGAGACTCTCCTGACGCTCCAGCACGCAACGCCGGCTCGCTGGCGCGGGGGTAGCGCTCACCGCCCGCAGGGCGCCCGCTCTGGGGGTTTCCCAGGCACTGACTCTTCACCCTCCCAGGGCCCGGCAGCGTGGGTGTCGTCACGGCCCCGTTTACCGGGAGGAACCACAGCACAGAGGGGTGGGGGGCCTGTCCGAGGCCACGCCGGCAGCGACGCGGCGAGAGGGGACCCCGGCAGCCTGGCTGGGAGTCTGCGCTGTACCCCGGGGGGGCCACACTCCCTGCCCTCGGAGACGGTGCTTTTCGGGGGAGGGCTCCCTGCCGGAGCTGGACAAGAGTCCCGGGAACCCCCGGGGTTGAGGCGTGCGCAGCGTCGACCTGGACCAGACGAGGAGTCCTGCTGCGTGGACTGTCCCCGCTGTGTCCCCCGGCCACGGGTGCAGCCCCGGGCTCCACATGAACCCCAGGGGCCGCAGGCAGGGAGGGCGCGGCCCCCGAGGGGGCCGTCCCGCCTGGCAGCAGGAGGCGGCTCCGAAGAAGAGGACATGGCGGGGAGCGGGCAGCGCCCAGCCCAGGAGGCTCTTATCGAGGGCGGGTGTGTGGGGTGGTCTCTGGGCGCCGGAACGCCTGGGTCCGCGCCACGGGCCTCCCACTGGGGACAGACCCCAGCGCGGAGCCGGGGACGGGACACCTTCCCCACAGGGGGGACCCGGACCCACAGCAGCAGAGACAGGCAGCCTCTGGGGGTGGGGGCGCACAGCCACGCCCAGCCCTCCAGGGCCCTGCTGCGGGCCGGGCCCAGTTCAAAGGCAGGTGCCGGCCCCGCGTGAGCGCAGGCCCGTGTGGCCCAGGAAGAGCTCGCGTGGCCGACCCGTGACCCCGGCCGTGGCCCCAAAACCATCCCCCAAAGCCGGGGTCCCGTGACGACCCACGCGTGACCTCCCTCCCGCATGGTTTCCCCTCGTGAGGCTTTTGCTGATTTTTGCTGGAGTGTCGTCCGTGGGTCCCAGGATCTCGCCCGCAAACTCCCCGGGACACGGTTCCGACGAGGCCGCTGACCGTGCAGGTGGCCCGAGAGCTCCCGGACGGGCGGCCTGCCTTAGGCCTTTCCGCCTCCCTGGAGACACGCACTTTCTCTGTGCTCAGGGCAGCCAGACCCAAGGGCTGGGCGCCGACCGGGGCGGCAGAGGGCGTCTCCCAGGGAGTCCTGCGGTGCGGCCCGGACGCCCGCTGGCGGAGGGTCCAGCACCAGGGAGCGGACACTCTCCCCCGAAAGAGGACGACGACCTGGCCCTCCCCGCTCCTCTGCACCCACCCGTGGGCTTCGGCGGGGCGTCGTCTTGGCCCTGGGCCCTCCAGCCCTCGCCAGGGCCTCCATCCCCGGGCTCTGTCCCCTGGCTGCATCCTGCACCCCGCAGCAGCGAGTGTGCCCTGCACAGCCGGCCAGGCCTGCCCCCCACCGAGCCCCCACCGTGCCCCACCCCTCCTGCCCCTTCGTGACTCCGCACCTGACGGCGCCGCCGCCCCCGACGAGGAGACGGGTTCGAACCCAAGCCGCACGCACGGGCCGCTCACCTTCGGGGCCGCACCGGGCCAGGTTGCTCAGGCAGGAGGTCCCGCGCCTCCCGTCGTACAGCAGCGTGACGCCCTTCTCCCCCTTGAGGTAGATGCCCTTGCTCACCTTCCCTTCCACGATGTCTGCGGGGGGAAGGGCGACACCGTCCGTCAGGGAGCTCGCGAAATCGGGGGCGGAAAGACGCGCCGGACACGGAAACACACACACACACACACAGACATGTTCCTCACGTGTATCTTTACACGCCTCTAACAGTGCGTGCTACCGCGTGACCTTAGAATCGGCCCCAGTTAGTGTTGGACTATTAATAAACAGATCATGAGTGATCTGGAAGCTGATGTGAATAGTAACTAATAAACTAACAGCAAGTAATGGCGATATTCATGTCATGCTGGTATATAACATTGGGTTGGCCAAAAAGCACGTTCCGTTTTCCCCATAAAAATAAAAGACGCATTTTTTCATTTTCACCAGTAACCTGACTGATTTGGGTATTTTGAGGATGTCGGCCGTCTCCTGTGTGGAAAAATGTTGCTTTTCTGAGTTGTTGTCTCGACTGGATCGCGACCGAGTTCGGCCGGCCCACCGACCGCGGAGCCTCGTGCAGCGGGCAGTCCGCCCGGGCAGCCACAGCGCCTTCTCCGCACACGGCACAAACCTTTCTTCCCACCCCAGTTGCACGTGTACCTTTCTTGAAAAAATGAAGCGTGATATACTGAAGACGTTGCTTGCTTGCTTCCGTCTTCAGTGTTAAAGTGGCTACCCAAACGCTCCCCAACTGTGACGGGTTTTCTGAGCGCAGGCGGATGTGACAGTGCTCACAGTTCAGCCTAACAAGATGGTTTCGAACGAGGCTGCAGGCGACTAGAACCGCCTCGTGGGGGGAACCGAGCGAACTTTTTGGCCAACCCAACACGCACTGCGCTGTAGCGAGGCTGCAGCTCCCATGTTTGCCGGTGGCTGAGTTTTGCCAGGGCCGGTGAAACCGCGGCTCTCCTGTGACGCACGACGTCCCGACCTTCCGTTCCGTCCACGGGCTTTCCGAGCCCCCCCCCCTCCAGGCACCTCACGGCCGAGTTCCCGAGTGACACTCGGGACACGAGTGGGGACGAACAGCTGCACCCCAACGCTCTCCGTTTCGGAGTTCTAGCCAGCAGCCCCTGGTCCCGACATGGGGACCCATGGTCTTTTAAAAATCCATTTTCCGACTCACGGAGGGACACCCGTCACAGCAGTGGTCTCCAGCCCGGGCGCTGCACGGAGCTTTAAGCACACAGTCCCCGGCTTCCTGGTCAGGGCACTGACCGCCTTTCCCTCAGAGGGTCAGCTGAAAACGTGACAACGGCCAAGGCAGCAACAGTCGCCCGACGTGAGTGAATCAAAACTACACCTATTCCCGGCCAGATCGGCAAACAATAACCTTTCTGGCGTGCCGCAGAACTCGAGCACTTGGTTCACATGTGTTCACATGTGTTCACGTGTGTTCACGTGTGCCGTGAGATGAGACGGGCTGCCAGTCGTGGGCTTGCCGACCTGGTAAGCGGGGACCGTAAACCCTGGAGGGGTCGGTGCTCGCTGCTCTCGGGGTCCAAGTCCCCGACACCTCGCCTCGGGGACGGACGGCTGGTCCCTCGACCGGCCCGCCCGCCCGCCCAGGACACTGGCCCGGGAAGCAGGCCCCTCCCGCTGCAGCAGCCTCGGTGTGGAGAGACCAGAGGGTGGTGCCCGGCTGTCTGGCTGAGTCCCCCGCGGGGCCGGCGGCGACCGTGACGGTGACCGAGGGCCCCGGCTCCTGCTGCGCTGAGCCGCGGAGGGGACGCGTGCAGCCTGCGGGCCCTGGAGGCCCTTCAGGAAGGAGGGGGCTTCGCCGTGACTCTGGTGGGCGAGCGGGTGGCGGAACAGCCTCTCACGGCTGAAAAAAAATCCAGCCGCAGAGGAATGCGGACGTGAATGCAGCCCGTGGAGAGCACACGCTTTACGAGGTGTTTTAGAGTAAACCAACTTTCCGTTGAGAGGGCCGGCTCAGCCTCCCCCAAGAGTGCAATTCCTTTAAACGTCCAAACGATTTCTATTTTTAGACACTCTCTCGGCCTCTGTCGGTTTTGTTCTGAAAAGGAGCAGCGGGCGTGGAAGGCCCGGTCATTCCCAATGTCACAGACGCCTTCCGACGCACGGCGGCCCGGGGCGTGTCCCCTCACACCTGACTCCGAGCAGCTCCCGTCCAGACCCCGGGCCCGGTCTGTGCCTGGCTATCGGCACGCTCGCGGCCTCACACCAAACAGGACTCCCCGGTCACGGTCGGGGGGCGGGGGGGGGGGCGCCAGCAGGCAGGGGTGGGGGCGGTGCTCACCTACGGTGGCGGAGGCGTTGGAGTAGGCGGAGTCGTTGGTGAGCACAAAGGCAGTGTTATGGGAGGGGAGCACAGTGAGGTTGTGGGCGGGCCATGCTGGGTGGGCGAGAGGGGAGAAAGCACAGCGAGTGAGTGACACGGAGACAGGTGCGACCGCCATATCTCTCAGCGGGGCCCCGCGGGGGCGCTGCTCCGGCCGCGGGCGTCCTCCGGGCCCCGCCGCCCGCACGGCCTTCGGCCTCGCTGTGGCTCCCGCTCGGTGGCCCCACCGGGTCACTGTGACAGCGGCGGGGTCCGGCCACACACTTGGGTCCCCGCCAGCCGGCTCCAGCTCCCTCCTGGACACCGCGTTGAGAGATACGACACTGGACTCGGCCCCACGGCAGCCCGAACGGGAGATGGGCGGGGTGACGTCACAGACGCTGATGGGACAGAAACACAGCGTGAAAACAGCACGGCGTGACGACACAGGCACAGGACAACAGAGGACCAGCAGCAGACACCAAGGCCGACACCCGAGAGGCGAGGGCGTCGCAGAGCCGCCCCGGGGTCCCGGCAGCTCTCGGCTCAGCTCGGCCGTCTCCCCGAGCGGCTGTGACCGCGTGGAAACGCACCGCAGAGCGAGGCCCCGTAGACCACGGGCGCGGCACTCAGCGGCGGCCGTCGGCGTTCGGGGCAAACGTCCATTTCCCGTATGAGGCCGTTACGGGAAGTGGATGCATCTGGCGAACACCATCCATGCCGGGGCCGTGGCGTCCGCGTCAGGACATCTCCTTCTAAGAAGGATTTTTGGACGCGAGAGTTTCCCAGACACGGAGAGGGGCGGACTGAGCCAGGACAGCGGGTTTGAGCTGGGGGGTGGGGGAGAGAGACATGCTGGTGGTTACTTGAGCTCCCGTGTGAAGTGACTCCTGCGTTTTCAGTGTCCGGGCCCCATACAGTGAGCCGTGTCGGCACGGCACAAGGCACTGCACCGGGGGCCGCTCTCCCGGCAGGGGCCGTAAAATAGAGGCCCTGCGGGAAAAAGATCCCGTTGTAACAGCGGGGGCCGTGCGCTCCAGCCCGAGCGAGTCAGGTAATAAACTTCAGGGGGATGGGGGTCCCCCGCAGGCAGACCTGCTCTTCTCCGGAGCTGTCGGGCTGGGGGACGGCCACCACCACCTCGGCCCTGACGGCCCCCCACTCTGCGGATGCCAGAGGCTCGGGCTCCAGCCCGTCATGCCTCTCGATGTGCACATTTTAAGGAGAACATGCCGGAACGTTAGGTGGCAATTTATGGAGCACATTAAGTTGCAGGAATAAGGGAAACGCCGGCGTGACGGCGTGGATGGCATAATAATCAGCAAATGGGGGTTTCTGTTCTGACCCGTCCCCCCACTGGTGCAGGGAGGCTCCGAGTGGCGCCAGAGTGGGCTGGCTGCGCGGCCACCACGCCAGGCACGTCAGCTGTCCGGCACAGCCAGGGGCGACCCGGGAGGCCAGATGAAGAGAGAAAAGCACCCCACATCACTCAAAACACCCACTCTTCAGGAAGCTCTGACCGGGCCCTGGCTGGCACAGCTCAGTGGACTGAGCCGCAGCCTGTGAGCTGAAGGGTCACGGGTTTGAGTCCCCATCAGGGCACACACCTGGGCTGCAGGCCGGGTCCCCAGTAGGGGGCGCTCAAGAGCCAACCATTCACTGTGTCTCTCATACATCAGTGTTTCTTTCCCTCTCTTTTCCCCCTTCCCCCATAAATAAATAAAATCTTTTTTTAAAAAAGCTCTGGTGGGGGGGGAAACTGCACTGGGCAATGGCAAAGGCCTGCTGAGTCAGACAGAGACCACTCTCCGTGGGCCTGGGGACCCCGACCGCGGGAAGCGCTGTGGGTGGCGCCGCCCTCCCCCAAGGGGAGCTGTCGTGACGTGGGAGCCGCCGGTGGGCAGGTGCGCGCCGGAGGAGGCCCGGCCCCCGCGCACGGGCGCTCCTCTCGGCTGGCGAGGCCCCAGCCCTCGGTGGGACTCAGGTGGGCCCGTGCGCACAGGCCAGAGGGGAGGCCCGTCCCGCGTCCCGGGGAATGCACACCCGGACCCCCGACAGCGTACAGCCCAGCTGCTTCCGACGGAGGCTGCTGGGGAAACCCACTGCGACGCCCGCACCGTCAGCTCTGTCCTCAGCGCGAAAGCGCACACACACTTGCCGTCTGGGATGGCAACGGCTACGGGGGCGGGGGGGGGCCTCGCCGCCCTGGCTTCCAAGCAGGTGCGGCTCACGTGTCCCTCCCGGTGGCCCCGGCCCCCAAGTCCCCCGCCCCCACAGCCTGAGGGGGCCTCACCACCCGTGTCTACCTCCGGTCGTTTCCTGAAGTTCATGGATGCCGTCCACGGGCTCCAGGGGCCAGTAGTGGGAAGCAGTGAGCAAGACCTCGAACCCTGGGGGCAGAACACAAGGGTGTTAAGTCCCCGTCGGGGAGGAAGGGACCCGTGTGGCCCGCTGTCGGCCGCCCGCACTGTGAGGTGGTGGGAGGGGGAGTCGCCCAGGGACTACAGGTCGTACCAAAAAGGCACTTGAATAAACTCAATGCTCTCTTCTGGCTTTACAAACAGAACTCTGTGAATGGAAAGCCGATCAATACTTCCTGAACAGGAGACTCATGATAAGGAGGGACACGCAGATGCCTTTTAACCTGAGCAAACAAAGCCGCCGCGCTCGACGCCGCACACCCACTGCCCCCGGGGGAGAGACAAGCGTGCTCAGGGCCAGGTCACGGTTCAGCATCGTTCTGGAGAAACGCCCGATGCCACCAGACGAGGGAGGGAAGCCGGGCCGGGAGGAGGAGGCGGCAGCGGACCAGCGTTCCCGGCGCTGCACACGGCGGTGCACAGCTGCCCGCGCCCGTCCCGACTGCGGGCTGCAGGGCTGCGTTCTCAGCCGGCACGCAGAGATGAGGGGTGCGGTGCTTCTGCGGCGGCCGCGCTGCAGGCCGGCCTCCGGGGGGGCGAGGCCCACGCTCGCCTCTCCGCCCGCCCCCGGCCGGTCTGCTCAGGGTCCTGCACACGGACAGGTGATCCCGCCCGACTGCAGTCATCTCGCACCGTCCCGTGTGGCCCGTGCGCTCTGAGTGGGCGTGGCTCCGTGCAGACATGCTCCTTTCCGGAGTGTTCTCCTCGCCCCGTGTCCTGTCGCCTGTCCCTTCGTTCCCGTCTCCCCACCCTCCCTGGGGCCCCTCGAGGGGCTGCTGGGTCCCCCACTCGCTCCTCCCTCGGCCCTGCTGGCGGGCGAGCCCGTCTCTGGGACCAGGTCCCAGACGCGGGGACCACGGCCCCGGGGACCGAACGCGGGCCGACCGCCCTGCAGGGCTGCCGGGTGGCAGGGCGGGACGGGACAGGATGGCCTCGCAGAGCCGGGGGCCGTGCATCGTGGCGAACGGGCTCTGGAGAGCAGAGAGCAGGCGGCGGCCGCAGCAGCACTTTGAGAAGGAGTTGTGCTGGCGAAGAGAGTGAAGACCCATTACTGCGCACGAGACAGGAACGTGGGGAGTGAGAACCGTCACGAACAGCGAAGGAGTGTGGCCAGGAGGCGTGTGGGGGCCTCACGGGGGACGTCAGGCGGTCCCCTGCGCTCGCACAGCCACACTGGCCGCGAGGAGGGGGCGTGCTCCCAGGGGCCCCCGAGCGCACGCCGGGACGCAGCTGACGGCAGGGGCGGAGCCTCAGACCAGAGGGGGCGCGTCACGCGGCAGGAGCTCTCAGAGCCCGCCGCCCTCTGCACACCTCCCTTTGCTCCGGCAGCTTCCAGCGGCCCAGCACCTGAGTGTGTGTGTGGGGGAAACCGCAGACGTAATAAAGCAGAACAGCTCCCGGCGGGGCGGGGGGACTGGTGGGGAGCCCGGCCACGGCAGTCTGGGAAGGTCTGCGTGGAACACCAGACGGAGCCCCACCGGACGGGGGCGCCAGCCACGTGCCCCGCGGGACTGGGACAAGATGCTCTCTCTGTGGGCGCGTCACCCGGGTCCGGTGAGTGAGAAACTCTTCTCACGAAGACGCTGTCGGCCCAGGAACATCGGGGCACAGGCCGTGAGCAGACAGTTCAGAGGAAAAGGAGTGTGAACCATTTCTAAACGTGCGGGAAGACGGTGTGGCTCGCTGGCAGGGCTCCACAGCGTGTGGGAGGGACGGAGCCCAGCCCTGCGCCCCCCGGGCAGCGGAAGGTTAGAGGTGCTGCCCTAGCAGGTTCCACCCCGTTCTGGGGGCAGTTCCCTCCGGCCTGGCTCTTCCAGAGAGCGACAGGCGACGCCCGAACACATTTTAAGCCCGAATTCCCTTCGACCTAGTAACCCCACTCCTGGGAACTTATTCTCGAGGTAAACTCACACCTGTGATCGAACACCTGCGTCCAGGGGCGTGTGCCGCAGGTCTGTGACATTTGTGTCAGCATCCGGCAGACGGCACACACGCTGCCCACCGAGGGGCCGGCTGCAGGCCCCAGAGCGGCATGGGATTCGCGGCGTGCAGCCCGCAAGGGGGACGTGGCAGGACCGCACAGGCCGGCACCCCCCAGGCCCCCGTGGGCGACAAGGTCTCCTGCTACAGGACCGTGAGCGTGTCGCTCTGCGACATAATGACGCCACACGCAAGCACACGCTACGGCGTTTCGGGTGAAACGGCCGAATGAAAAGGAATCGTTACGCCCACGTCACGCCCCCACCGGGGGAGTCACTCCCGCCGGACCCTGTAGGACATTAACTGAGTTGTATGGTTAAGTTCAAAGAGTCCAGGGGGTCCCGGCCAGGGGGCTCTGCCGGTTGGAGCGCTCCCTGGTCGGCCAAGGGGGCGGGTGTGACCCCCGGTCAGGGCGCGGACGAGGATCGGCCAGCGAGTGCGTGAGCGAGCGGAACCACTGGCGGATGTTTCTCTCTCCCCTCCTGCCTCCTTCCCCTCTCTCTAAAACCAGTCAGTAGCTTTGTTTTAAACGCCGAGGGGAGGGGAGTGTGCGTGGCAGGAGCTGTGCGGGTGCACCCCAGCTGTTCAGGGGGTGGAGCGGGGAGAAAGGGGGGGAGATGTCGGCGGGACGCCCCGGACTCCGACGCCGGTGTCTGGGGCTCACTCGGAGAGCCGGGGCGCCGGGGGCGAGACCTGGGCTTCGGGTCTCACCATCTCTGCGTTCCCCTCAGATGCGGGGACTGCACTCACCTTAAAGGTGTGTCAGGGCTTGCTCTGCGACGAGAACAGCCCGTCGGTGCTGTCCACCCTGGACTTTCAGGTGGAAACGGGGCCGCCCACCCCCACACCGAACGTCTGAGTCTTGGTCCACGGGCCCCCCCCCGCCCGGCACAGGCGCGGGCCGCCCGTCCCCCGGTCAGTTTGTACTCGCGAGAGGCCGCCCTTCCCAGCGGGCTGCGAGCCCGAAACACAAGCCTCGGACAAAACCGGCTCCGTGACACTCTTCCCCCCTTGATGTAACAGGGGCTGAAACACAGCCACCAACCACTAACTCCCGTGCGTGCTGGGGCCACGTGGGGCCCGGGCCCGGACCCGACGGAAGGAGAAAGCTGGAGACACCGGTTCTCCTTCTGAGCACGTCTCGCCTTTCCTTTCCTCTTCTGAAGCCCAGGCACCCCCCCCCGCCCCGAGAGCGGGAAGCAGCACTGACGGACGAGTTATTCAGCTCATCTGGGAGGAGTCGGGGGGCGGACAGCATCTGCCGCACGAGGAACAGATGTGCCTTCTGGCCCCTGGTCTCTGTGAAACGGGCCCGTGTGCGCGCCCTGCCCACCTGCGGATGCCCGGGGGCGGGGGGAGGGACGTGGCTGTCTGCACGGAAAGTCGGCCCCCCCGACCCCCAGACGGCTGGCCGGGGCCCCACGGAGCTCATGGGCGAGCAAACACGGAAGGACTGTACGTGAAATTCTGATTTCTCTGAATCTCTCTTGGCCTAATTTCCGTTTGATCAGAAACAAATGCTTTTTCTTTTTTTTCTTTTTTTTCTTTTTTTTTGCACCAGGAAGACGCAGAACGAAGCCACTGCCGTGACCCAGTGGCTCCAACGGCCTCTGTGAGCCGCGCGCATGACGCTGGTGACGCGGCCCCCGGACGGGCCGTGGGGGCGGCTGCGCAGCGAACAGACACGGAATCGCCGTGGGGGGCACCTGGAACCGCCCCACGGTGGTCCTGTGTCCACGGTCTCTCCCCTTACAGGGTAGAAACAGGCAGAGAGAACAGGCTATTTATTCTCTCAGAAAGAAGACGCCGCCGCGGCAACGCAGGGAGTGACAGTTGCTGTAATGACAGGCTCCGGCTGCCTCGGCCTCTGAATAGGCCAGTGAGCCGGGGGGAGCTGCCCGGCCCCCTGGGAGCGGATGGGGGCGGCTGCCCTGAGCGCCCCAGGGCCCAGAAACTTCTGGAACCCTGGCACGCTGTACGGAAGCTCGCTCTGCTGGTTGTAGAGGTCACCCATAAAGCACCTGTCTGTAAACTGCTTAGGGATGACCTGCGACCTCCAGGCCGTGCCCTTGGGGGATTTGGTTTCCTCGGCCCTCCCAGCCCCCCAGCGCTGCCTGCGGGACCGGGCAGGCCACTGGGCCACCTGGGGCCCGGGAGAAGGTTTCAGAGGGGGCTGGGGTCCTGGCTCCCCGCCTCGGGCCGCACCATCCGGCGGGAGGCGTGTAACTTCTCCGCCGTGACCATCCGTGGTCACAGGCAAACACAGGCGACGCCGAGGGGTGAGCCTGCTTTCCCACTGTTTGCCGCGTGAGCCCCGGTCGGCCCAGCAGCGGGGAAGGCCTGCAAACGTCACACTGCCGGGGCCGGCAGAGGCACACGGGCCAGAGGATCCAGGCCGTCGGCGTCCCAGGACACCCGGTGACGGGCCAGTCCCCAAACGGCCCTTCAGGGTCCTGTCCACAGGCGTTCCCTGAGCCCCTGCCTCGCCCACCGCCGGTGGGGCCCTGAGCCGGGCGCCGCGGCAACAGCACCTGCTCGTCCCGACGGCCCCCCAGACGGAAACCCGGCGGGGCTGTGGCCGTGAGGGCGCCAGGGTGCCGGCCCGCGCTGGGGACCCTGCCGGGCTCCCCGACCCCCGGCACACCTGCCTGCCAGGCCGGCGCCAGAGAAGGGGCGGGTGCAGGGCACGCGAGTCCTCCCTCCCGCTGCGGGCCGGGTGGGCTGTCTGTCCCCGCGCCAGGGAGAGCCCCTCTCGCCGTCCGCACGGTGGCTGCGCTCCCCGCTTCACACGCCTCCACAGGAAGACGCACGGGAAGGTGCACGTGCGGACCAGGGGCCGGCGGCCGCGCCTCTGCCACAACACCCTCTCGCTGGGGCCGCGACCGCAGTCAGGACGTCCCGGCTCAGGGCTGGGTCGTGGCGCCAAGGAGACAGAGGTCCCACCCCGGGCCTGCCGCACCCTGCCCAGTGCCCCCACGTCCCTCCCTCCCACGGGCTCCGTCCGAGCCCCTGGCGTTGTCCCTGGGCAGGGTGGGCGGGCGGGCCGTGCCCACAGTCCCTGGGTGTCCATTAACTGTCAGTCCCCGGAGGTGGCAGTAACCGGGGAGCCCGCCCGTCCCCCTGCAGCTCCGTGGCACAGGCCTGCCGCCGAGGTCAGGGCTGTGCCCACAGCTTCCGAGCAAGGGCTGGGGACACGGGTGGGGGTCCCTCCGCACCACGCGCGTGCCGGCCAGGGAGAGAGTGGGAAACTGTGCCCGCAAAGCCACTCGCACCTGCCTGTGCCTCTGCCGCGGCGTGGGTGGTCCCCGCACTTTCGGTGGCAGCCTGCAGCCGCCTCTGTCGCCCCCGGAAAAGCCTCGCTGCGGAGCTCCTGGACCGAGGACTCCGGGGCCTGGTGGCCGGGTGGGGGCCCCCCCCCCCCCGCTGCTCGGTGCTCTCAGCGGGGCTGCGGGCGCCCGGCGCCGGACTCAGGGCGGTGACAGCGAGCGGAGGCAGCGCCGGGAGGCCGAAGGGCTGAGGCCTGAGCCGCCGAAGCAGGCCGGCGCCGCACGCATGACGTGAGGCAGACAACGTCCCCCCGAGAATGCTCGCGTCTCCTCGCTCACGAGGCCCCCACCGACCGAGAGCAGGAGGCTCTCGGCACAGAGGCACCGGCCTCTCCGGCCACAGCTCGGGAACAGGGGGGCCGGACGTGCAGGACAAGCAGAGCCACCGGGAGGGCAAAGCACAGCCGGCAGCCGGCCGGCCGGAGGAGCCCGAGCAGGGCAGCTCCAGACGGCGCCACCGATGCACAGCCACCTGTGCCCAGCCGCCCGCGGGGCAGGACGGGGAGGCCGCGCGCCGGCCGTGGCAGAAGCGCCCTTACCTGGGTGGGCCTGGGACCTGCAGAGGGCCGGACGCACCTGCACACAGAACAGCACAGAGTGAGACTCGGGACGCCCGGCGGAGCCCGGCCCGGTCGCGGCGCCCCCCGGGGCCGGACGGTACCTGGAAGCTGCAGTGGAGCAGCAGCAGCCAGGAGGGCCAGCAGCCGCGCAGCAGCCCCCGCATGGTGCGCCCGGGGCTGGCCGCGGGCCCCCTGCGGCTCCCGGCGGCGGGGGGCAGCGTGTCCGCCCTAACGGTCCTTCCCTCGGGGCAGGGACATCTTCTCGGGGTCTGGAAAGAACAGGCGGCTGTTTCCCCGCAGTCTGTGGCCGGCGGCCGTCTCCGGGCGCTGGCGGGGGCTCCGTCCTCGCCGGCAGAGTCCCCGGGGATCAACAAACACGCCGCCGAGAGCCGAGCATCCGTGGAACTCGGGGCGGCCAGCTCCAGACGGGCCGGATGAGCCGTCCCGAACTCGAACGCGGGGCAGCTCGCCCGGCCGGGCAGGCAGCTCCGAGGGCGGTCACGGCCGCCAGAGCCCGCAGCCCCCGCTCCTTCCCCGTCCAGGCTGAGGGGAGGCCGTGCCTTCCTCCTCGGCGTCCGGGGACGAGAGGGCTTCCAGAGGAACTTTGTCCCCGCGCGGCGGCCGAGTCCTCCGGGGCCGCCCTGGGCGTCCACCTCTCACCCCGCTCTGGGTGGGGAGAGGCGGTGATGTCAGGCGGCTCCTCAAACTTTGCTCCGCGCCGGCCTCTATTTATATCCCGCCCGCCCGCCGGTGCTGGGTCCTAGCTCCAGGCTGTTCCGACAGCGGCCGTCTGCAGGCGGCTCCGCGGCTGCCTCCTCCCCGTCGGCGCCCCCGGCCCCGTCGCCCTCAGTGTGGAAACACACACACACGGGGGACAGCAGAGCACGAGCTCCTCCGCTCAGAGCCGAGCCCTGTCTGCCCAGGGCGGGGGCGGGGGGGGGAGGGAGAAGGCGGCACACAGGGGCCCAGGAAGATGCCCCCCCCAACGGGCCACCACGTTTCTGTCTTTAACCCTTTCCGAGGAGAGCCGAGGCCAAGGACCCCTTCGAGGGGACACCGAGCAGCTGCAGCCACAGACCCCAGCGCCCCCGCCGCGTGCAGGATGGGCTCCCGACACGGGGACAGCCCGGCCCTCAGCCGGCCCACGCCTCGGTTTACTCAGACGCTCGTGCGCCCGGCCTGGTCTGAGCAGGTGGGCACGCGTGCAGGGCAGCCGTCACGGCTGCAGGGGCCTCGGGCGGGGCTGGCCCCCCGTGCCCGTGCCCACCAGCGGAGCGCCCCAGGCCGGGCTCGAGTCTCGGCCCTACCACGTGCCCGTGAAGGGGGTCCCCTCCTCCCAAGACTAGGGCGGCAATGCACATGCGGTTCTCTGCGCAGAGTTCGGGGAAGTGCCGCCCCCCCGCCCCCCCCCCCCGCAAATGCTCTCTGTTTTTGGCAGGGCGAGACCCTCACTCAGTGAACGTGGGGGAAGATGCCAGAGGAAAAGCCGGGCCGCCGAGCGCCGGCCGGTGCGGCCTCCGGGCCCCACTGTGCGTGGGAAGCGAGTCCTGCGCCCGAGGACCCCCGCCGAGGCGGCCACAGGACCGCTGCCCGGCCCCGCGAGGGAGGAAGAGCGAGGTCCAAACACAGGCGACTGCTTTCCACCCCGGCTGCGGTGCGGCGCCCACCCGGGGAGCCGAGCACCGGCTGGCCCCACTTGGCTGCGGCGGGCGCCGGCCGTCTCCGTGAACTGTCACCTGGGGCCCTGGAGATGCCCCGGGCTCTAGTTAATTGCGCAGCCCCGCTCACTCCGACCTTTGCCCTGCTGCCTAGGCAGCACTGGCCTGGGGAAAACCCGCTCACAGCCTTCGACGGCCCTCCAGCTGCTGCGGGGGAGAAGGTGCGGGCTGGGGGAGGGGGAGGGGAAGAGAGCGCCCTGCAGGCCCCTCTCCGTGACCCCAGCAGGGACTCAGCGAGCAGACAGAGGCGGAGGGGGGGGGGCGGGGGGGGGGCACTGCATCCAGCCTCACGGCGACACACGTGGAGAAGCCCACGGCCTCCACGGGGCGTGGCGCCCACCTTGACCTTCGTCTCCCAGGAGCGAAGTGCGCAAGTCCCTGGGAGGAGGACCCCGCAGCCCAGGGCGCAGGGCAGGGGCCTCTGCTGCTGAGGAGGCAGAACCCCTGTGCCCTGGGCAGGGGCAGAAGAGCTGCGTGTACTGGGACAGGGGCAGAGCCGCTGCAGGAGTCCACCCAGGACACCTGGGACATGAGGACACAGGCCGCCAGGACCGAGGCTGACAGGGGAACAGACTTCCCACGGTCCCCACTTCCGGCCAGAGAGAGCCTCCGAGGGGGACGCAGCGGCACACAAGGAAAACAGGCGTCTGTCCCCAGGAGTCAGCGGGACGGACGTGCGGAACTATTCGGTGACCAAGCTGCAAGGTGGCCCTGCTCTCCCTGGGCTTTGCGTGGTGGCTGCTGGGAGCTGGGGCCCTCTGAGGCCGACTGAGGCACGTCCCAGCCCGGTGAGGCGAGATGTTGGGGGTCCCCAAGCATGCTGGGGGGGAAGCGCTGGATGCTGTCAGAGTGTCAGGAAGGCATGGACGTCCTCCCGGGAATAGGTCAGCGGCCACTGGGCCCCCAGAGCAGCCCTGCCGGGGGCAGAGGCCGAGTCAGTCCCAGGGGGCAGCCCACGCTCTGCCGCACAGCATGGCCCACGAGCCCCCGAGAATTCACACACTGCCCACAGGAAACCACCTGCAGAACCAAAAACGTCCTGTGGGCTCTCTGGGCTGTGACGGAAAGCGGGTGGAAACACCCACTTCTGAGCGGGCTTTGGACAGTGTGGTTATCTCCGCTTCCGGAGCCGCCCCGGGGCCAGCCCCGGGGCCAGCGTCCAGGGCTGGTGGCAGAGGGCCCTCCCCCTGCCCGCAGGTCGCCCAGTGTTCTGGCCCGGCCCATCCCCCACCCCCACCCCGCTCGCCTATGCCCTGCAGCTCGGCTGGGAGTGTGTGGGCTGCAGGTCCTGGCCAGCTCAGCTGGAACAGGGCCAGGTGGGAGGTGACTGATCCTGCAGGCAGTTCCTTACATCCACAACTTAAAAAAAAAAAAGAAAAACGGGAAGAAGCAGCCTCTCCACCCCCCTTGCTGTCGCAGCTTTCACGGCCTTTCCAGCACCCAAGGCACCTTCCTCCGGCTGGTCCTCTGAGAGCCTGGAGCCGGGTGCCCACGGCACTCTCAGAGCCTTCAAATCCCAGCCGCACTCTGCTCTTCAGCGTGATTGGCCGGGGCTCCGTGCACTGGCAGGCATTTCAGCCAGTCACAGCGCCTGTGGCAGGGAGGGGCAGGGACTCACAAAGACCCGCCCTTCACAGCTGGCAGAGATCTCAGCAGGGTGGGTTGGGTTTTCTTTTTAATCTCTCGCTTCATCCCAAAGAAGACAGTTTCCTGTTTCAAAAGCGGGAAAGACAACTTGACGTGGAATGTAGTTGACGACAGGGCTTAGAGGCTCCCACTGCCTCTCTGGCCCTAAAGCCTTTGGTCCATCCTGGGAGGGGAATTGACCCAGCTCCCCAGCTGCTGGCTTTCACTCCTGGCCGGCCTCGGAAGGCGTCCTGTGAAAATTCCGGACACCACGTGGTGTCTCACTGTCTCGGAGACAAGGGGGCGGGCGCCGCAGGCAGCTCAGGGGCGGTGACGCGCCCGCCATCAGGAGGGGGCGAGCACACACACACACACACACACACACACACCCCCGGGGGTGACCGGGCGGGGTGCTGCTGACCAGGGTGTGGGGGCACAGCTGGGAGCGCTGTGGGCTCCCCCCACGAGTGCATGGGTTTGGGGGGCAGGAGAAAGGGGGGCGGGGGGGATGCTGATGCTCACACTGCACTTCTGAAACGGTCCTCGACCCCCTCGCCCCGGGGACACGGGGGCAGGAGACGGCGTGACCGGTGGTGACTCAAGCCAGCCTTGGGACGGTTTCACGGCCGCCGTCCGGACCACCTGCTCTCCGTGGCCCTGAGGTCGGGGTGCCGGGAACCCACATGCGAGACGCTGTCTCGCTCCGAATGGGAGGCGTGTTTGCGGATGCACGGCTTTTGCGCCCTGAGCGCTCCGGCTCGTCTCCCGCCTGGCGAGGGCCGGCCGCCCCGCGGCGTGGACGGGAACATGCCCTCCCTGGAGACCACACCTCCCCGTGGCCCGGCGGGACGGGGTGTCTCGTGGGTCACTTCAGACCACGTAACCGCCGCCGCTAGTGCCGCCCTGCCGGCTGCCGGCGCTGGTTCCCTGGCCTCCCCTGAGGCTCTTCCCGCGGCGGCAGCAGCGACCGCCCTTCTGGCGACCTCCCCGCACACGCCCTCGGGGGCTGCCGGGAGCCGGGCGACGCGATGGGTGCAGACGACACCACTTCCCACCTGTTCAAATTCGCGACCTTGAACCACGGACCAGCAGCCCCGCTGGGGACACCGGGGTCGGGCCCCGGGCCATGCCCTGCCGTGGGGGGCGGCAGGGCCGGCCGAAGTCCGTCTGAGAAGCAGGGTGTGTCCCAGGGCAAAGGGACTGGAAGACAAGACGTGGGCGGGGTGCCGAGGCCAAGGAAGACGTCCCGTGGGGAACGTCCTGCCCGCGTGTGCCGCGCCCTCGGTGCCGCGGCACGGCTGACCGAGGCCCCCGGCCAGGCCCGGGCACGCTTCTCCGACCAACCTGTGTTTTAGAATGAGCCCACTCCCCGTCCCAGCCTCTGAACAGCAGCCCCCTGGCCCCTGGCGCTGGCCCCAGGGACAAGGCGTGAGAACCGCGGCCAGTGTGCCCAGCGGCGTCTCCGCTCGGAGAGACACAGCCCCACTCGCGTGTGGCTTTGCCGGGAGCCTCACGTCCGGGGAAGGATTCTGAATGGGTGAGCCCGGGCGGCACAAGAAGACAGAATCCACATGCCAAGGAAACGTTTACCACAGCTTACGGGCGCGTGCTCGTTTTATTTGGGGGGAAGAACGGGACACGGAGCTGGGCGGGTGCGCGCTCTTGGCGGGAACTCGGGGCCGACAGACAGACTCGAGGGCAGGTCCGCGTCAGGAGGGGGCAGCCAGGCCTCTCCACATGTCACGTGCCCGGGACACCTCTGTCGAGATGCCCGCACATCTTCTGGCCGGGCCAGTGAGGCTGCCACTGCACAGGACTGCTGCTGAACTGGGGCGGGGGGGGGGGGGCTCGGGGTGGCCGCGTTCCCTAAGGCAGACACGGACCGACACACGAGGACGCGCAGTGACGACCGCACAGTCGGACGGCGGCGGTCTAGGCTGTGCGCTGACTGCTGACTCGCGGTCCTTTGTGAGGTTGAAACAGGGTGGAGAGGGGCCGGACGTCACGGAGACAGACAGAAGCTCGTGAGGATGGGGACACCGGGAGGACACGTGGCAGCAGAGCGACAGAGTGTGACCTGCATGAAGCTCCGTCGTCACCCAGGGCCGTGGGGCTGCCGCCGTGTGGGGCGGGGGCACAAGGAGAACGTGCTGGCCACGGGAAGGAGAGGCCAGCAGGGACGGCTGCAGGCCTGGCTGGATCCAGGAGGGCGGAGGACGTCCCGAGCCGAGTGCAGGTCTGCCCTCCCAGCACCGCCGCCGCCCTCTCGGCGCCGCCCCCTCGGGAGGACGCGGGCTGCTCCCGGCTGGCGTCCCCCCGAGTCACTGCGGCTGTGTCGTCAGACCCGCTTCCGGCCACCGTCACAGGGAAACGGGG